GTCCGGTCGCGCCTCAGGGCCGTCGAGGTACCACCGGCGCACAATGGTCGTAATGAACTACGACGGCGACATGCAGAAGTCGTTCGAGCTACTGGTGCGCGCGATAGGCACAGGACGCAACATGCTGCGCAAGGCGAAGATGGAGGCGAAAATGAATGAGCTTGCAGCACTGGCAGGCTCAAGCGACGACGACGACGACGTCGACGACGAACAAGACGAAACCAGTGCCGCCAAGGTTAGCTACCGGCCTCGTATGGCATCCATGAGGGCACGCGCTGCCGCAAGAAGAGGTGGCGCGCGTGGGGCTAGCGGTGCTGTGACCACGCCCGTCGCTGTCTTCGACACCACCGACAAAACTTTGGAGCACGCGCAAAACCTGTGCGAGAAAGCGGCCCATGTCACACTGCGCGACGGCGATTGTCGGAAGGAGCTGGAGGGCATGCGCAAGAGCTTTGCCGACGTTCTCGAGACGGCCAAAACCGAAGTCACAAAATATCCTGCCGCCCAACGATTTGACCCCCCTGAACTGCGATCAAATGACACCTCCGACACATTTGCATCTTCAATAGAAGAACCTTCTTACAAAAAGCATTTCCCACAATTGTCGTTGCCCCCATCCGATCACCACCAGAAGAGTATGCTGCACGTCCATCTCGACAGCCACAGCAACCTTCTCTACGCCCAAAATCATGGACATCGAGGCTGACGACGACGATGATGAAGACGAGCCAGACTTTGTCATGCCACCAACACGACTCACATCGCGATTTGCCGCTCGAGCGTAACCTTTTCTGCCATCAGTTTAAATTTGTCCATCTGCGTTTAAGCGAGTCATTCTATTTAGCATCTGGCTGGCGTTATGAAAGCAAACTAAGCGAGTCTATTCTAAGACACTACGCATTACGGCATTTTTACCTGTATCTTCACAATGTACTTATCGCACGCAGCATCCACAAATGATACGTGCTCTTTGTACTCGATCCTTCATACGCACGTGAAGTGAGCTTCGACCTTGATCACCATTGTGCTTGACCCCGCCATCACGTCTCTTAACAATTACTCGCTGCACACTGCAATAACTTGGAATGGCAGATGACCAATCTTGGTACTCACGCAAGTATTTCATTGAGCGGGCTGCGCAACGTGTCTTGGGGTCTGCACAAGCCAAAGCCCACAAGCTCAACTTAGTGGTGGATAGAAGATGGGGTGGTGTTGTAGGTCGCTCCTTCCTCTTTCTTGAGAACCGCGTCTCTGGCACGCGTCATGTGAGCACGCGTACACGGAAGGTACCTAGGTACGCTGTTGCGCGTGCCTTCCCTCTGCAAATCAATCTGCTTCGTATCTCCCACCTCTTCTCGCTGCGCGGTCATCCTCTCTACCTACATTGTACTTGATCGATGCACACCCCGACCTTGCTGCCACAGAGGGTAGCAATCCCAGTAGGTCCAACAACGCACCGTACTGGGAATCGACACGCCACACAACTACATACAAAAGACGCCATAATGGACAGCCAAGAATCATATCCGGGCTCAGTAAAGACGGTTCAAGCGTCTTGGCAACACTCGCAGCAGACTGATGCCAGTGCTAATGTGTCTCACCCCCATTTGCGCTCCGGAACAACAGGAAACTAATCTACTACAGGGTGTCGCCGCGAAGTGCGGGACTGACGACATCTCTCAGACTGCACAAGAGCACACATTGTTTGCAGACGTGCTCAACTCGCCATGCAGCACTGGTATCACGGCTGTCGTGGAAGCCATCCCTGTGTCACAAGGCCAGACAGAAGGCGCCACGAACGTACGATTGCACGAGCTGCCTTCACAATCACGAGAAGCTGAACCCCGACAGATTGCTGATCAGCACCGCTATGAAGAAGATGCTGTCACGGTTCCGCATCACAGGAAGTCGAAGCGAAGCAAGAGAGTGTCGCTTCTTACCTCCATTGACCCCAAGAACATCATTGATGCAACGAACGACCACGACGAATATGCGGCAAAAGATACACCGCCGATCTCTTCCATTCCACCTCCATCCTACTCCCTTCGCAACCGTAAAGCAACGCGGGGCAAGCTCATTTACGACGTAAAATACCACCCTATGGACGATAGTATCAGACCTTCGCTAGCTGCAAAGCGCCGCTCACTTCATGGAGAACCCAAGACATTCTCAGCTGAGTCATCGGAAGCGTCTTTGGCGCACGATGAGTCCAATAAAGATGAATTTGATGCTGGAGAGCGGGCAGGGCCGACAAAGAAAGGCGCGAAGCGCAAAAGGTGCTGTTCCCAAGAGGCGCAACCCACACGACGCTCATCACGCAAGAGCGTGAATTCTGGAATATCGTACAACATGAGCGTTCATCCACAGGACCGTGATCTCGAAGTATCGAGCAGCGATGATAGCGATTGCGAGATGGACATTCCCAAATCAAAACGATGTGTGTTGGCGCGCTCAGTGGAAGACGGCCTCGCACCAATTCCGGACGATCATACATGCGAAACAGCATCTGGTATCATCGCGATAGAGAGGGACCAACCTGAGAGCAATTACGCTGATAGCAGTGAGCGAGCTGAAGACCCAGACATCGCAGGAGAAAGGAGTAAGTAACATGAGGTTATCTCGTTTCTGACCCTCACATTATTCTTCAAGTGCGTGGTCAAATTCGCTAACTATGTGAGTGACAGGTGCGCTTCTGAAGACGTCCTCCCTCTTGTCACCTACCACTACTATCTCACCATACGGCGTTCGCCGTAGAGAGGATCTGGATGTGTGGATGATGAAGCCTGGCGAGCGATACTTCCGCCACGACCGAGATTCCTGGCCTGATGTACAAGGGCTGCCGTTCAAAATATATACTGAGTCTCTCGAAGCACAGCTTGCAGCAGAAGCAAAGGCAGCTTCACCATTCAACTTCGATCATGACGACAAAGAAAATGATACGGGCAACGGTAGGTCTGAGGCAACGCCTGGCCCAATTCAAAGAATCTCAGCTGTGCCGCTATCGCAATACAGAAGTACTAGCGAGGACCAAGTCGTCAGCGAAGCTTTCTATAGTTTGGAGCCAAACGTGTCAATGCTGTATGGTCTGGGTGGTGTCGACGGTTCCTCCGACCGCAGCATAAGGGCAGCTTCGATGTCAGAGGCTATGAGCATCCTCGCTTCTGGAGATGGGCTGCGTCGCGAGGAAGGCAGAGTGCATGCGGAGCTTACTGATGCCGCTCTGAGCCTTCAAGTAAGCACCCCCAGCGACGTGGATTCTGTGCTCGGGCGCCCGTCAAGCACACCGGACAAGGCCCACTCGTCTTCAGGGTGAGGATTGTGCGGTCTGCACCACTAGCTCATAGTACTACATGAGAATGGCAGGGCATACAGAGCTGAGAGTGCGAAAAGCTTATAGCTTCCACTGGGTAAAGACTGACCTACCTGGGCCTCTGCGTGTCATGATTTGCCTAAGAAATAACTTGAACTGCATGGCGTTCAAAGCGAGTACTGTCGCTAGCAACCAGTTCAATTTATATTCATTAGATTACCAATCTCACATGTATCATGTATCATAATGCTATGAAGACCAGTACTACTACTTGCTGATCCAAAGGCTGCGAGCAGTGTGACAGAACTCGTTTCTGGAGTGCCGGTATCATGGATGGAGCACTGACGTGTGCAGTCTAGCCAAAGGTTTTCTTAGACTACACTGTCGTGACGAGGTACAGCTGTAATGATGAAAAGGAATGAAGCTCTGCGGACATTCGAGTACCTGCGGGCCCGACAAATAGGCCCGACAAATAGGCCTGACAAGTACACCACTACTTCACCAATCAGCAACCCACAAGAAGTCAAACCGGAAATCGTCGCTCATGTAGGCATTAGCAGCCGCCCAAAGGACTGTGTTTGCACGTCTTCGTGTGCAGATTCTCAATCCTCTTGCGATGGGAGCTCAAGCCATCGCGGGTAATTGCGGGGCTGCGAAGCCCTGTGTGAACGAGCGATGGCGCAGCGTGTGTAAAAATAACATTGACATCGAGGCTGACATGGCATCTGCACACCCAAGGCATGGCTAAGTCTAGTATTAGGGCACATGAAAAAGGAGCCATGGATTCTGTCAGCCTTGCGCAGCCTTGCCATGCCATTACTGCTGAATGACACCATGAGGCTGATCTTCCGAAGAAGTTTCATACATGGACTGTGGACCCCTGCGTCAATCATTGCCCGCCACCGGCCTAAGGCACATGTAGTTGGAGGTTGGATCGTCTGTCCCACAGCCTCATCCAAGAATGAATATAGTCAACGCCCTGGTTGCGCTGAGGGTGTCATTGCAGTTACTCGACGCGAATAACCTCGAGGCGATTGAGACACATACACCCCCTGACACCTAGGGCGTTGTACACCAAACCCTCATGGAACGTAGTCATGAGGCCACAATGGCAAACGCATAGTCAGAAAACGTGTGCTGTATATAGGTCAGGCGGCTAAGGCCACCAGCGTGCCAACACTGCCGACTTTTTCGTGATGGGACCAGGCGACGCCGAAACTCCGCACGTGTGAAGCACCGCTGCGCTCGTCGAAGGATGCTCTAACGTCGACAAGGTTGAATTCGCGTTTTAGAAACACGAACTGATCGACTGCGTTTGAGTCTTGGCGACGTTTTGTGGCTGTTGGGATCAACATCGCAATGTCATCTCGCCGATGATGCGCATTGGGTGACATGGCGGGATCATCGGATCGATGTGGACTGCTCGACTAGGCTCGCGATATGTACACACAGTCTGATTTGAACTATCAGCAATGCTATTACTACCTACACGGTCTTACCGTGGACAGCAAAGCACTCCACGCATTGCGTTCATTCAGGGGACCACGTTGACTCGAGGGCCTCTCACCTGCAATCTTCGGTCAATTGGTGGATTGTTCCAGCTCAAAAGCCGGAGAAAGGGGTCCAGAGAAGATCGCCAATCAGTGCGCAGCAGATGGGAAAGGTGACCAACCAGGGGGTGCCCTTCTGCAGCACGTTCCGACATCAGCCAGCCGCGAAACGACTCAGCAACGCCGCCGCCGCTAAGCATTCGTCTACCGACGCCGAAGCTTTGCCATTTCTGTTAATTGATCGATTTAACCACACGCTGCAGGGTATTATGAGGCTAGGCCCGTCAGCACTGGCTTGGAGGTTTTGTGCATCCAGACGTCGTGGCTTGCAATGAGGTGCTGAGACTCTCGACCGGCGCGCCTTCGACCAGCACTTGGTCATAGTTATGACGCTATGGATGCCACAAGTCTTTGCTCTTTTGCCATTCTGTCTGCCCACGAGCCGCGCATATTCGCCCCGGGTCAAGGGCCAGATCAAGGGGTTGGATTTGTTCGTGATGCGTCGAGTGACTGTGTGTGTGTGTGAGTTGCTTCAAGCCAGCCACAAGACTTCACAAACACAGCCGCTCCTCCCATGCAGGCCCTGGACGCTCTAAACACACGCCGTACAAATACGTGCACCTGGAGCGTAAGCTGGCTCACACCCCGGTCAGAGGAGCGGGCTTTCGGGGCTAGAGCCAACGAGTGATGTTGGCGGCCCGCCTGAACAGTGTCGGGCTCCGCCATGTTGACCGTCTGAGCTTGGTGCTGGGGGGATGAACAGCTGAACCAACTTAAGATGTCACTGGGCGCTCTTGGGAGCTCGACTTGGCTTTATAGTTTCAAAGACGAAGAATAGAAACACTTTTACGCTGTGCTGCTCTATTGTCGCGGTTTTGTGTGTGCTCACAATTTATCGACACTCGTGGGACACTATACTTCCTCTTATTGCCCTATTAGACCGATACGAGCCAAAGGCCCTACTCTCTGTCCTCGGCCACAGCCGCCCCTTTCTGGAACCCTGCCACGTTCTGGCCGGCCATATTGCTGCTAAAAGCGCCACGACCCAATTCCATATCAGTCTTTAACCTAGGCTGCACCCCGATTGCTTCCGCGTCCTCAGCGCACTCTTACCCTCCTACCAGAATCGCCGGTCGCCATTTGCATCATGAAGTTCTGTTCAATCGCAGTGTTTGGGCTCCTCAGTCTAGCTGGCGATGCTTTGGCTCAGAAGACCATCAAGGTTATGCCGTTTGGTGCCTCGATTGTCACGGTTTGTTGCGCACCAGTGCTCGCAAGATGATTTTCACTGACCTCGTCGTAGCGATGCTGGCGCACCAATCTTCACGCAAAGCTCAAGAGTGCCGGTATAACCAACATCGACATGGTCGGTTCCCAGAAAGGATCGGCCGACTGTCTTACCCAATTTCCCGGAACGGACAATGACCATGAAGGTCACCCTGGTTCATTAGCTACCGACTACGCAGCAAAGGGCAACCTCACCACATGGTTGAACCAACAACCAGAAATCGATGTCGTCCTCATGTTCCTTGGACACAACGACATCATCCTCGGACATAAGCCGTTCGACCAGATTTTCGCAGCATACGACACATTGATCGCGCAGATGAGGAAAAAGAACCCGAAGATGCAAATTGTATGGTCGAACTTGACACCCATTGATCCTAAGCGATGGGACTCTACCAGCAGTCCCAACAATTCCAAAGACGTTGCCGCTCTCTCCGCTAGAATCAAGAGCTATGCCCCCACTAAATCAACCGCCGATTCCCCGGTCCGTTTCGTTGACAATTTCGATGGCTACGACCCAGTGAAGGATACCGAGGATGGTGAACACCCCAACCAAGGTGGCAACGAGAAAATGGCGACCAAGTTTCTTGCCGCAACTACGGATGCCATCAAAGCAGTAAGTTGGAGACGAACTATCGGAGCACGGAGGGTGACCATGGACGCTAGGCGACGCCGCCAGTAACGCCCAAGACAAACAAGATGCGAAACACCATTATTGGAACGGATTTCGTCAATGTCCTCCAAAACTTTCTGAGTGAAGGCAAAAAGGACTAGTAAATTAATACCATGAAAAAGAAGGGAGAGCTGTTCCGCGACAATGGTAGACGCTTCCGGATGTCGAGATCATGGAGCGGCATTCACAATCAACGAGTCACATTATTGTGACGGCTGTCCTCCGAAGGTCCTCATTTCTGGCCAGTGTGCTCCTGATCGGCTTTGGAAGTGTCCTTGCTAGCGTCGGACACGCCTTGCTTCTGCTCTTTAGCTGCTCTTCGAGCCGCCTGTACATACACATGTCAGTGATACCCATGAATTATAATTAGGAATATACCATGATGCCCCGTGACTTCTTGGATCGAATCATCTTTGCCTCGTCCTGTACTGCTTGCTGTGCCTCAGCCTCCCGCTATGCCCGGTCAATCCTGATGGTACGTGCTAGAGATGTTTGAAGCCGTACTTGGCTCCTTGCTTGTTTGGCGTGGTGAGCGTCGATTGCGCTCGCGGCTGCGGAAGACCTCGGCTGAGAAGCATCGGTGTTGTCGTAAGCACCGCGTCCCATGTTGGTTAGTCGATCGAATATGTCTTCTATGTTGTTGGATGGGGCTTCGTGATTGTGATATGCTGGATACGGTGCTGTTGGTGCTTGCTACTGTTGATTATTTGGGATAGCAAGTAGGTGTTCTGAGGGGAGCCCAAAAAACACAAGAATTGTGGAGCGCGTGTCAGATTCTCTTCGTGGTGAATATGGACTCACACGGTGAAATGGATGAGATGAGATTGGGCGAGCCTGGGATGGTGAGAGTAGGGCATGAGGCGTCCGTCGTAATCAACACACGTATCGAGGGTCGTAGGGTCTTGAGGGCTTCATTAGAACTCTATTGTGTTACGTTTGCCCAAATGGTGATGGTAGACAGGGTGGGAGGAGCGGAAGAATTAAAAAGGTAAGAAGTAGCAGTGGCAGACGACTTTTTGGAAAGAGGGGGATGGAGAGGAAGTTGAAAATCACTCATAACTACGAATCGATAAAGCTTTAAAGCCGACTTGGGGTGAGGTTCAAGAGGAGAAAAGAATGCATGGTAATTTCAAAGAAAGGTGACTTCAGCCCAGTATATACAGACGTCTCTGTGGTCTATTTTGTCAAGACGACCTTCAGCTTGCCAGGGACGTGGGTAAAGAGATTGGCATAGGCCTTGGGAACAAACTTGCGCTTGTTGGGCTCCTGCACAAAATACTCGTATCCCTGCTTGTTGGCGAACTTGATGGCATCCTCCTTGGTCTTGAACTGGATGCGATGGCCGTTCATGAAGTCGGCCGAGGATGCCCAGCCCATGAGCGGGTTCTCCCACCTGTGACCCTTGGGCAAAACGTCCCAATCCATCAGCCAGTGTGAAGAGTTCCAGTTGCCAGACTGGGTGGCCGTCTTTGCGGGCTTGTAGATGCTAGGTCAATCAGTCGCACGTTCGCAATGGTATGCTGGCTTCATGAGGCGAGGGTGTCATACCGCACAGTCCGGGCCTGGAGATCGACGGGGGCACCTGAAAGAACGGCTGCGGCCACACTCTCGCCAGGCTCGCTGCCGTCCATGACGCGCTTGGGAATCGGCGAGAAGTTGCTGCAGGCGGCATTAGCTAGCTGCCCACCCGCCACAGGTTGCGGGAGACACACGAAGTCCGGTAGTCGAGGGCCACGTTGTAGTCGGGCTGATGCCTCATGCCCTCGGCAGCACCTTCCTGGCGGATCTGGGTCGAAGCACTCGTGAGCTTGACGGCGGGCGCATCTTCGGCTGTTGAGCGTGGAGCGGGCTCGTTGGTCGAGTATGCGCGGTATCGGGGCGCAAGCGTGCTCGCCGCGGACGGGCGCAGGGCTGGGGCGAGCACCTTGGATGCAGTCGCAATCGTTCGCGCGAGGGCAGACATGGCGGGCGTTGGGGTTCGAGGAGCGGCGAATGTCGACACCATGTCGCTCTCCATCGTGGCCATGCGAGCTCGGATCATCTCACGTTACCGTCTTGGCGGCGCCGGCAGAAACTCGCAGCTTCCTGCACAACCTCACCGTCGACCTCCCATCTCCCCTCCACTGTCTTGCCAGCCCAGGTGCGTCGCCCGGCCACGAGCTGTGCCCAGAGAAGCAGCAATTGATGCTAATTGATTGCCAGCCAGCCGTCAAGATGAGCTTTATCCAGAAGCGCGGTCTCTCGACCCTGATCCCTCCCAAGGTCTGCCTGCACTCCCACACATCTCCCAGCGCATCGCACTGACACCCGCCTCTAGATTGCTTCTCCCAGCGTAAGAATTCCCCATCTCTGGCTTCCAACCCCCCCACGCCGCAACATTCGCATGCGCAACCCACACAGATTGGCGGCCCATCTAGCTCCTCTCCCGCCTTGAACCGCCATCTCACTCGCCATCTCAACAAACACATCATGCATGATACATGCGCTAACGCATCCAAGGTCATCGGATCCTCTCCCAATGCGGTCCGCATGCAGAAGGTGGTGAGCTTCTACGAGAAGCTTCCCCGTGGCCCGGCCCCCGAGCCTGAGGGCAAGGGTCTCCTCGGCCGCTACCAGAAGAAGTACATGGGCAAGAACGCATCGGCAAGACGTGTGTATCTCTGAGAACTCTCCGCTGGGCAGTGGAGATGCAAGGCATCACAGCATCTGACTATTCACAGCACTCGTCCACGTCATTGGCTTCTTGATCGCGTTCGGCTACGCACAGAACTACTACTTCCATCTGCGTAAGTCGAACTGTCCCGCAAGCACGCGCAACTGGTAGAGACTCACATGATCTAGGTCATCACAAGAACAACACCCACTAAGCGGACACTGTGAATTTGATGGATCGCCGGCAAGGACGGCATGTGCACATGTAGAGTTTAGTCGATCAATGCAACAGCAGCCCATATATTTCACGCTCTTTCTGATAGTCAGTGTTTCCGCGTCGTGTCTAGCATGGGGATGGCGGCGCAAGTATGTGAGCACCGTTTTCAGAGAAGCGCTGGAGACCGTCAAGTGCATGCGAGACAGGCGGGCCGTCCAGGTATACTTGGTGGTGTTAATCCAAGTCTCGGCGCCATTGCCTGTTTGCATCTGTTCAAGTTGACTCAAATTTCTTCTATTCTGAAGTCGCCTTTGCGCATGCGCACATCCCGCCTCCAGCTCTGACCGCCAGGCGACAGTAGCATGATTCACACAGGGAAGTTGCAGACCCAGCGCTCTGAGGCGTCCAGACGTTGCCTGCAGAAATGGTGTGACGTGCGCGTGGGCGAAAGCATTCAATGTTGCGGCTCCTGCTACAAAGAGGTGCCAAGAAGACCACCCGCCTCACTAGCTGTACAACTCTCCTATACGCAGTAGTCTACAACCATCACCACCCACAAGCCCCCAACTAGTAGGGCAGCTATAACCCCTCTGTCACCCTCCCGGACGAAGCCACACGCCGTTCGGTACCATCAGCGCGGCCCACACGCACACGCGCCTGCCTGCACACGTCCGCGCGACCACATCGAAGCCGACACCTCCGCATTCGCCGCGTCAGCCCACGACCCACGCAGACGACGTTTCTGCGGAAGCGCCCACTGGATCCTCGTGGCGACTTGTAGCATTTGACACTAGGTAAATATCCTCCCGCTCTCCTTGGTCGCTTCGCGCGCATGAGCATGAGCCATGAGCGCTGCAACGGGCCCGACACGCAGCTGTCGGCGCCTGCGACTCCCGTCTCTGTTAATAGTGAACACGAGTCTGACATGGAATCCTTGGCCACGACAGTTCCGGAAACTGTTATGGCAGAGCAGGTCACCAAAGATGTGGTAAAGGAAGCACAGTCGGTGGGACGTCCCGCGCCCATCGACGACACTGCGTCAACTACCAGCACCCCCGCCGTCAACGGCGAGACGCCTTCGGGCCCTGCGACTACAGCCTCAGCAACTTCGAAGCCGACTCCAAATGCGACGGATGCAGCCAGTGCAAGTACAGCCCCGGCCGACAATGTACACGTGTCAGACAAGCCCTCCAAGGCAGCGGCAGCGGTATGTATACGCCAGATGAAAGCGGCTCGTTTAAATTGATGCTGACAGGAACAGACTACGACCGAGCAGAAGCCCACCAGCGCGCCCCTCCACGACGCTGACAGACCATTCCTCAACGGTGATGCGGGCGACGTAGCCATCGCAGACGCAAGCGGCGGCTCAGACACTGATATCAGCCGTCCGGGCAGCGTGGATCAGTCGAAGCGAGATGCAAGCCACGTGCGGACGAACTCGATGAAGAAACCCTCAACCTTCAAGTCCGTGTCGGTCACGAAGAATTTCCTCAAGTCTGCCGTTGCAGCACCTGCCACCCGGCCCGGCGAGAAAGCAGCACCGCTGGCACCTACAACCACCGCGACGGTCCCCACTGCCAAACCGCGTCTGGTAGCCAAATCCGGTGCTGGCAATGCCCCCCGCACACTGGGCAAGGCCAACGGCGCGAGCTCTGGCCCAGACGCGAGCAAAGTATGGAACAAGAACCAGCCCATTCCACCTCCGCCGCCGAAGCAGTTTACCGACGAAGAGCTCAAACAACAATATGGCATTCACCTTGCTACGCGACTACAGGCAGACGAAGCTGGAAAGGAAGCGAAGTGGGCCGATATTGACGACGACGAGGACGACTGGGCGCCTGACACAGTGCAATGGATGGATGGAACCAAGTCTTCTGGTGCTGTAGCAGAAAATGAACCACCCGTTCTCGAAGAGCCGAGCACGGTCGCAAAGGCACCCGACCCTGTTTTGGAGACGCTCAAATCTGTACAGGCGACGACCACAAACATTACAAAGCCCAGCGTTACCGGAGGTACCAAAACCATTTTGAAGCCAGGTGCACACGCACAGGCACCGCAGCTCCCGACTGGAAAATCGAGCCTCGTGCTCAAGGGCCAGCCAGAGAAACCCACGCTAGTCACCAAGCCATCCTCGTCAGAGAAGAAGTCACCATGGGCAACGCTGCCTCCTGTGGAAAAAGTACCGCCTGTTCAGATCAATCCTCCAGTACAGCAGCCTCCGCAGCGGTTTGCACAACGCGATTCCTACGGATACGATTCAATGCCCTCGCATCCTGCCAAAGAGATTGCTCCAGACGATTTCAATCGCACCTGGCGCGACGACAGGGGGTGGGCGACCCGAGCTATTCAATTCACAAAGTGGCCGGTATGAACCTGTCAACGACATGCGCAGGGGATCTGTTCGTGATCCTGCTTTCCGGCAGCAGCCCGCGGTGCTGCAAAGGCCCTCCCAAGACGGTCACGCGGAGCCATCTGCTGCTTTCCAGACGTCCAGGGCTGGTGCAGACATGCCGACCTGGGGCAGACGCCGAAATTCTTCCAATGTCAGTGGCAGCAATGGCCGACGAATGTCTTTTGACAGACGGCCAACGGACATGCCCAATGGACCTATGGGAATCGAACGACGAGGCTCGCACTCGATGAATGGTGTGGAGCCCATGGACCCAGCGTCATCTCGCAAGCCGTCGATTGCACAAGCAATTTCGCCTAACGTGGCGAATGCTCACCCAGCCTCGCCGTTTGGTTCTGTGGCATCATCGGGTGTGCATGATGTACCCGTCCATGTCGCCGCGCCGCCGGTAGAAGACCCCGTGGAGGTCCAGAAGCGCCTCATGACGGACAAGATTGAGCGCGCCCGGCTCAAGAAACAACAGGAGCGAGAGGCCGAAGAGAAGGAGGAGGCCGAAAGGAAAGAACGTCTTGCAAAGAGGCTGGCAGCCATGGGTCCGCCCAAGGTGAAAGAGCAGTCGCCCTCGCCCAGAAAGGAGAAGGCTGTACCTGCCACCGCGCAATCGCCACCAAAGCCTCCTGTCCCGGCGGCCGATGGTGAGGTCGCACAGTATGGCATGATGAAGGTTCACCATGCTCAGCCCGTCAAAAAAGCGTCGTCGGCAGAGCCCATCAAGGCTGCAGCTTCCGTTGAGTCCGTGCACTCCCCTTCACCTGTACAAGCGCACGCCGTAAACGAAGCGCGACCCGCACCTCAACACAAGCAACAATCTGCGCAGTCGTTCGACAAATTTGCTCGCGAGACCGAAAATACGAGGCAGTCGGGTGAACAATCAAAACCCGCTATCAGTCAACTAGAAGGCGCTGTTCCCGCAGGACCAAGATCCCAGGTTGCGCCTGGTTGGCAGCCCACAGCAGCAGCACCGCGACCGTGGACCTCGCAAGTCTGGGGACCACCACAGGCCAAAGATCGAGCTCTCGGCAACGGGACTTTCGGCTCAAGTTACGACCGCGCTCAATCTCGAGGTTCCCCTCAGCAGCCTCCTGCACAGTCACAATCCACACCAACGGCTTCTGTCAACCTTAACATTGCTCCGACTTTGCCCCACTCACAACCCCCGAGCACCATGCCCACTGCTCAGCCCATGCGTCACCAAGCTGGGTCGCTATCAGCGCAGCCAGCTGGATCCGCACGGCCGGGTCCTATTGCGCCGCCTGCTGTCAAGCCAGGTTGGGGCAATTTCGCCGCGCACATCGCCCAGGACGACAAAAATTTGGCGACAAAGGCCAGGCAGGATAATGAGCGATTGACTGGCGCCCGACCCGAACTGCGAGAGACATACAAAGATCAGCGGGGTCAGTCGCAAGCCGCATTACACGAGACCGCCGCACCGAACAAGTCTACCCCGAACGCTGGGGTCAAGATGGACGAGGCTGTCAAGTCGATCCATGAAGGCCAACTGCCGCAACAACCACTTGGTCAAGCTCCCCTGCAAGCTACTGGTCCCCGAGCGTCACGATTCTTTCCTCGATCAACTGAGACCTCGCAGCCAACGATGATGTCGTCCAGTAAGGCTGACTCTCCACCCCCACCACCGGAGACGGAAAGCCATCCCGCCTTTACTGGGAGCGCAGGCCAGCCGCTAGTCAGACTCCCTAAACCATCACCTGTTGTACGACTCCCTCCGGCTGCAGTTGGAGGCGGCGCGCAAAGCGAAGCTCCTGTGACTATGCCTCCACGTGGTAATCCTGGTCTGGGTGCACGCCCGCTGGCTATGAACCCTGAATGGCAGGCCCGTTTCAACAAGCTCTTGGAGAAACCAGGTACATCTCCTGCGCAAGCTGCACACGCTGCTACTCAACGGTCCGCTGCGGCCGTAGTTTCGGCTTCTGTTTCGAAGACAGGCTCATTGCCTGTAGCTGCCTCCTCTAAAGCTGCACTCGATGTACGTGGAAACGCGGGATTGGCCACTGTTTCGTTACCAAACGCTTCTACTAGACGTAGCTTGGCGAGCGACCGTGGCAGTGATGTCATCACACGTAAAGGCACCGAGGTTCTATTCGAGGACAGAGAATTTGGCTCGCTTCCAACAGTAAAGCTATCGAAGGTGTCGCATCTCGCAGCCAACGAGCCTGTTGTCCAACCTCCCAACGATGATTCCGTGCTCATCCGCTTCAAGAAGATCGAGAATCCGTTCACTCAACGTCGATTGGAGACCTTTGACCTTGAGCGAGCTGCCCAGAAAGTTGATGTAGTCATCCGCATCAGTACCATGCGTGAAGGCATCGTCAAAGCTATGCCTCGAGCACGTCGCGGGCCAAAGACTAGCATCCAGTACAACAAGCCGAAGCGTAACAGCAACGTCCCAAATGGAAGTCCTTCAAGCAACCCGAAAGATCGTTCACGCAAGCCATCACAACAAAGCCAAAACGATCGTCCGAGCAGCTCAGCTCGTCCCTCCACTACCAACGCCTGGACCAACAACAACCGATCAACCCCCGGTTCGACACCAGCCACTACGTGGGCTCGACGCGCTGCAGCTCCTGTTCACTAAGTGCGCCATTGCATTCCCGGCACAAGTTTGTCTGTGAAGATATCTCATGTCGTCACCGCGATCGAAACATCGTTAAGTCTAAACTCTTAGATATGGCTGGCAGGGGTTTTACGAGGCGCCTGGCTCCGTATTCCCCCCCTCCTATGCATGGTGTGCCCGGTTTGGCACTTGAATTTCCTTTCTTCTCTTCACTTACAGCACATTTTGCGGCATTGTGACTACAACGATTCGGTGGTCACCTTGTCAGCTTTCCCCGTGAGAGGTAGTGGTACTCTTACTTTGAACTCTCAGACTTTTTTGTACTCCGTGTGGCTATGTTATGTCATGCATCGGAGCATTTCCCACCTAGCAATGCTGGAACTCAAATGATGACGATGATGGGGCATGGCGATGGAGTGGGATGAATAAAGGGCGATAGATGCTCTTGTACTGCTAATACTACTACTGAAATTACCAACTCTTGTCACTAATATGTGGTGAATATGACGCGTGTTGAGCTTACTTTTTGATGCATGTACTTTGCGAATTCTCTAGGCTGGGCTCTTACGACAAATTACGGCAGCATTCTCACATACCGCTTAGTTGAGGTGGAAGGATCGTCGGGCGACGTTGCACGTGATCGACTTTGACCTCGGAGCAGCGGCCACGATGCACCCCTGCACAAGGTGAAAGTCACACAGTGTCCTAGATGTTTTGCATGTGTCAACTAACGGTAGAACAACCCTGTTGAAGGGCGCCGAGCTATACTGTGATTGCTTGTGAGCTCCGCGTAGAGCTTCCGGATTGGTCGAAGCTGATGAGCTAATGTGAGAACGCGTTCCCGGTCTATATACAACTATCTGCCGTTGGAATATATTCGATCCTCCACACATTTTCCGGCTGCGCTGACAGTCGTGAACTCCAAATCCTCAAATTTCTGCCAACGTTTGAGGAACAAGTGCTGTTCCCAACCTGAAAAGCTTTTCAAGCCATGGCCCCACCCTCAGCGCCGGCAGACCACTCAGTCACTGATTTCGCCAATGATGTCACGTCTCAGATGGAGGGCTTTGCTCAGTCACAGGATATTGCTGAAGAAGCGATTTCGCGAGATCTTGAAGGCGACAGCTTTGAATATGACGAAGAAGAAGAAGAAGAAGAAGAAGAAGAAGAAGAAGAAGAAGAAGAAGAAGAAGAAGAAGAAGAAGAAGAAGAAGAGGCAGAGGATGACTCGTCCTCAGGATCCTCTACTGTTCGCCAATATTCCATGATCAATTCTTATCGCCGGCCATCTTACGTAAATCCTGGAGCACGAGGAACAGCTATAACATCTTCAAGCGTGCCAGAGCGACAACATGTGTCCACATCATGGAAGCAACACAGTCATATCTCCAAGAAGGAAAGGGAAACGGTACGAGAAGAAGAGCGGAGCTTACTCCGTGACAACAATCTTCTTCCTCCGAAACATCCACGATCAGGCAGCTCGGGACCTGCGAGTCGTCTCGGAAGCAAGCTTTCATTCTCTGGGCTGCGCAAAGTCAAGAGTACATCCGACGAAGAGGCAGCAAGAGGTTCATATGCACATGAGCAAACGCCACTCTTGGGTAATGGGGGAGGGGATCCAGACCAACCTTATGGCGGACTCGATAGCCCAAAGACGATCAACAAGAAATGGAACAAGGCAGTCATAGCTGGGAAGATCAACACAAGCTGGCAGCGCGAAGCCAAAGTGTTGACCAAAAGCTCGGCACCACTCATTCTCACGTTCCTGCTACAGTACAGTCTCCCAGTTGCCAGTATTTTCACGGTTGGGCACATTGGCAAGATCGAACTAGGTGCCGTGAGTTTGGCTAGTATGACGGCCTCCATCACCGGATACGCAGTGTACCAAGGCCTTGCAACTTCTCTCGATACGTTGTGTGCCCAAGCATATGGCTCAGGCCGGCCCCATCTTGTAGGCCTGCAACTGCAGCGCATGCTGTACTTTCTACTCCTCATCACAATCCCCATCTCCATCATCTGGGCGCTCGGCACGCAGCTTTTGTCCTTGATCGTACCCGAGCAAGAAACCGCACGTCTAGCTGGTCTTTACTTGAAGGTGCTTATTGCTGGTGCCCCGGGCTACGCCGCCTTTGAGGCGGGGAAACGCTACGTGCAAGCGCAAGGAATATTCTCGGCGACAATGTACATCCTGCTCATCTGCGCACCTCTGAATGCGTTCCTGAACTGGTTCAGTAAGTGTGCTCTTCTATCTATTCCCGTACGGAACTCGCCTACTAATCCCATGTCTTAGTGGTTTGGCACTTGAAATGGGGCTTCATTGGTGCTCCCATAGCCGTCTCGATAACCGAGAACGTCATGCCCATGATGCTCTTCCTCTATGTCCGCTTCATCGACGGGTACCAATGTTGGGGCGGCTTCGATCGCCGGGCACTGAAGAACTGGATGCCCATGATCAAACTTGCCCTGCCAGGACTCATAATGGTTTTGGCGGAATTTCTTGCGTTTGAGATACTTACCCTGAGCTCAAGCTGGCTGGGACCGACTGAACTTGCGGCTCAATCTGTCCTTGGCACTGTGACGGGCATTACTTTCCAGATCCCATTTCCGATGAGTGTCGCGGCGTCGACCAGGATTGCAAACCTAATAGGAGCGACGTTGGCACGTGCCCGCAAAGACGGCTGCGAAAGTTGCCCTATGTGCGTCCATACTCGTGGGCGTCTTCAACTTGCTGCTACTTTCACTACTCAGGGAGTTTATAGCTCGACTCTTCACGCCAGACGCAGACGTGATTGAAATGGTGTCGGCACTGCTGCCGCTATGCGCAACATTTCAGGTCTTTGACGCGCTCTCGGCGAGTTGCAATGGTATCTTGCGTGGCCTTGGAAGGCAGGAGGTCGGTGGCTATGTGGGCCTGTTTGCGTACTACCTGGTTGGAGTACCGATTAGTTTCGGGACTGGGTTTGGAGCAGGTTGGGGCCTGTTTGGACTCTGGATTGTAAGGCTTGCCAAATCATTGCGTGGAAGAATCTTTCAGCTAACAAGAGGCAGGGTCCTGCAATTGCGCTCGGGATTGTCGCTGCGATTGAGGGGGTGTTTATATGGCGAACGAGCTGGGAGCGAGCGGTTGAAGCTGCAAAGTTGAGGAACGCTGCTGGGTAAGAGTAGTAAATGGGCTAAGTAATGACATGACCAAGATGGACGATGAATGCTATGTGGACTCTTGTCTGAATTGAAGCTATCTTGTCTCGCTGAATTACATCAAGTATATGGGTTTTCCAAGTATATGCGATCAGGTCATGGAGCCATGCTACGCAGCTCTTCTAAAGTAGGCAGATGGTCTGTCATGATGCATAATCCAAGATGCGCTGGGCGTATGCAAAAGAGTAGGTAAATCAACAGGTGGAAACGCCGGGGTAGATGCGGTTGGAGATGCCTCGCCGCGATGCATTGTCATGAAACGGTGGCCAAAGCCGGTTGGGCCAGGATGATGAACGCCGTATAGTGTTGTTTAGTGCCGCTAAACAGAAGAAATCCAGGGTATCATTGCAGCGACGTAAGGGAATAAAAAGTGTACATTATAAAAAGGGACAAAACGAATCAGAGAGTCGAGGGCGAGCGTTTTCGGGGTTTGTAGGGCAGCTGCGAGCCGGAGCTGATTGAATGCTTCTTGTCGCGTATTTGTAGCATGGGTGCGGGTTCTTGGTTCTTTACTGAACGAATGGCAGACACGGCAAGGGTCGCGAGAGTGAGGATCTCGGCCGTTGCGGCGCCAATGGCAGTATAGAATGCGACGCCCTGAGGTATTGTTAGCAGCTGTTGCCTGGTGGGGCTGGGGCTCGGGCTGGGGTTGGGAGAGACTAACCTGCTCCTCGCAGACTGCGCGGTACTGGAACCGGCCATTACTCAATACGTTCTTGTTGGTGCACGAGTAGCGACCCAGGCTGGCTTTGCTGGCCTTGTCGAGCAGGTGGAAGACGACAATGGCGGTGATCCAGAGAATGACGCCGAAGCTCCCAGCAATGATGCGGTAGGCATCACGTGAGCGAATGGGTCGGCGGAAGGAGCGCTTGAGCGAGAGCGAGAGGATGGCAACCGAGGCGAGGAAGTTCGCGGCGGCGATGGCGAGCAGGACGATGGTGGGGGCGAGGTTGGTGTGAGCAGGCCATGTCAATGGGGATTTCTCCGCTGCGCAGGTTCCAGGTAGCGGTTGCCACGATAGATTTCGAGGGGTGTGGACCCAGCATGCAGACGACGGCGCCACTGAGGACGATGATGAGAAGGCGCAGACCATGAGCGGACCCCTGCTGAGCCAATGCGCCCCGCGGCACGATGGGCCAGGTCGAGAGGCATATGCGCGCTCAGGGCGTTTCGGGCAGCGCTCGGAGACTGTGCACGACGTAGTTCTGGGGCTTTTCGGGAAAGATTGGGGCGCTGAAGGGCTTTGGGATGTTGAAGGGTGCGAGGGGCGGCGGCGAGGCGGGGACGTTGCGTGGTCTGTAGTCGGGGAGACGAGGCAAGTGGTGGTGGTGGCTGTGTGAGTGGTGGTCGAGGACGCAATGTACGCTCTGGCCATAGTCCCGTGGAGCGTCTGTCGGTCTGCGCGGGCGTGACGGGACGGCGTGCCTGAGGTCGTGGGCGGAAGAGTGAGGGCCCAGGCAAGCAACGAGTGTGGTGTCGGTGACAGAGAGGGTGACAGAGAGGGTGGAGAGCGTGGAGAGCGTGGAGAGCGTGTCTCGTCGAGGGAGAGTGCCAGGCGCGGCGGCGAGGAATTACTGACGGACATTGTCGCTGGAAGGGGCGCGGCTTTAGACCAAACGAGGTTGGCGGCACGTCTGGAGGCTGAGCTTCGGGCTATTGTTGAACACCACCAAGATCTGCACTGCAAACACTGGCTCTGCGCTGCAGCACATGCCTTGGGCGTTGTCTGTCTGCGTCCACGTCTCGCTGGGCGTCTCACAGTCTGCTCCTGTCACTGCTGCATCGCCCACGGACAGTGTGAGTAAGCACCCAAGCCTGTACAAGCAGCGCAGCGTCTTGTTTGCAGAATCATCCACTGTTGAGCGCAAGGCTAGGCCTGCCACCCCGGAATAGCGACTGTGGCGGCTGGCCTGCATTATTGGCTGCACGTTTCGAAACTGCGCCGCAAGCAAGCACTGCGCTCTCACTCAGCACATGCACCGCCAGCCTCCGATGCTGCCCCCCCCAAGGCCGACTTGTCCATCCAGACTGTCTGCTATCACAGCGCCCTCAAAGCCTCCTCGAGAGAAGCCGCCTCGCATCGCAAACCCATCTCTCACCATTTCTTCATTTGTCTCAACAGCACGCGACGCGCGTTCATCGTTAATTGGGCGTCCAATCATGTGTCGTCTGCGACAGGGGGGTGCGGCCCGTGGTTGTGGCTTTGCGAAGAGTGTCTTGCAGCAGTTTCGTGCTGAGGAACCATGCGCTTGACCTGCCACCGCGAACCCCATAGCAACCCCGTAGGACAAGAGATTGCATGTGGATCCGGTTTTTCTTCAACAATCTTGACTGCCTCGTCATCCTCCTGAAGCAATGCCAAGACATTGCGTCCCGCCCCACGAGCTATGGCTGCACCTCATACCAAGTATTCTTCATGACCTGTTCTGTTCGCTGGTGCTCGCTGGTGCGCATGCTGATTAACATTCGTGCATACATGCAGCATGCATCGATTCGATCCAAACTCCTCCTTGGCGGGAGAGACTGCCGCAGCAACCCACTTTCAGAACTCATCATGACCACTCCTCCCCTGCTGTTGTCGTCACCGTGCAGTCGTCATCCATGTCTCAGAGTCCTCTACCCCCACATTCGAGTAATGCACCCGGCACACGGCGCACCTGCTTCACCCTTGGCTGCGCACAACGGCAATTGACCTCTAGCTACTTTCCCCATAGGGCAGCCGCAACAGACCATACCAGCAGCGCCCACTCCTACTGCTTACATGTCTCCAAGACTGAAGAGGCCCTGGTAGCTAGCACTTGTTCTGAGGAGCTCTCTCTTTTCTTCCTCCCACGTGACCCTTGTAGAGTCATCCTTCACAGCTTGCATCACTGTATCGAGCATCGCGACCGTCTCCTGCATCTCCGCCTTGACCTCATCAACATGTCTGAGGTTGGATGCTTCTTCCATGCACCTTCTCCAGCACAAGCACAATCCCACCATGACTGCTCCACGATGCCCAGGTATCCTAGGCCATGCGTTCTGCATCACTGCTTGAAGGGCCTTCAATGTGGCTAGCGTCAACTCTTTGTGGCTGACAATGAATGGCTCCTGAAGCAACGTCGACAACAATGGGATAAGCGTACGCAAGTGCTTAACCGATTCTATGCCCAAGTGCCTCAAAACAAGTGGCACATGTCGCGTGATGACTGCAGCAAGTTCCGGGTGCGCCCAAGGTTTGGGAAAGTGACCTAGTGGTGCGAGTATGCCCTCACGTACAACCTTATCGAGAAGACCAGTTCTTGTGCTCCCTTTGCCACTTTCCACGGGAAGAAGCAGCGCAAGTGCTGTGAGTGTGGGGAAAAGCTCATTGAAGAGTTGAACAGCCTCGGGTTCCGGTGTCAGGGAAGGTATGTATGTAAAGAACGGTAGCAGCGCCTCGGCAAAGACATTGTGGTACCCCGCTGTCGCTCGAGGAAATCCGCAGAATTCTGTCCCAATCCTGCCTTTTTCCTTGATCCATCCCCACTGGCTGTCTGTTGTAGGCTCTCCAGTAATCCGCCAAGTAGGTGGCATCCTCTGGCTTTCCATGTTGTGTCCATATCGTCAATCATCTTCAAGATAGGAGGGACCAGCAAATGCCACCTTGCCTCCTTCTCTTTCCGGCTCATCGCACCAATCGACCATCGCAGTAGATCTAGAACGTACTGGCTACCCGGGTCCTTCCAAGGCGCTGGCTGACGCGACCTTTCGAGTGTGTTCAGATTGGTTTTATTCTGCGGGAAGAAGGGTGGAATGGTAAGTTCAAGGAAGTGCGAGGCGAGGCGGAAGGGAAGCTCACTGTCAGTCTGCTTTTCTCGTGACGCTCGCACCGCCTCGATGGCTGCATCCGCATCTATTGAATCGGGATTGCGGAGTTGCCATGCCATCACCACGTCAAGGGCATCTTTCATCCAAGGGCCGGGCTTGGTACCGAGAGCCTTTGCAAGATCTGTGCCCTTTAAGAGCGGCTTGAAAGTATCCACATCAAGTATGTCGTGCTTAGCAAGCTGGTTGAGGAAAGCAGCATAAGAGCCTAGAATATCTGTCGACTATGAGTAATGTGCATGCACCACCTGGCCGCCTCATACTGACCTTCTTTGGAGCTTTGTCCTTGCACGACCTCATACACAAGATTGAAGAAGACCTGTGTCCGCCATGTTGAGCCCCAACGACGCAAGGCCATACCGAGTATATCTCGGCCTGTAGGGTTGTCTGCGGGGTTGATCGTGTCAGGTCGACGAAGTCCTTTTGCGCATTGCGCGACCATAGCCCGGACTTCCTCGCCATGCCCCAAGGACGCAGCCACAACGTCGCAGACTTTGTTTGGCGCCTTGAACCCCTCTCGCGCTACAAGATAGGCTGCAAAGAATGGCCTTTGTGTCGGTTTGGTGTGAGGCACAGTCGGTCGCATCGGCCCATGGCATTACTGTAGCGCAGATCCAAGCAAGGTACTTCTCGTCTGCATCTCGGAAAAGCGTGTCCTTTGATGCTTGCTGGGATTTCTGGTCGACCATCAAACACCGAATCCACAAAGTTGTAGGACGACTTGAAGAGCTCAGTCTCGGGATCAGAGGGGAGCACTCTGGTCGGATCGGTAAAGACGGTCTTGTATAGCCCAAAGCGATCAATGAGTTCCAGAGCCATGCGTGGCCGAGGACCCCGGAGCATCTTCTCTAGTTCAATGCCAACTCGTTCCCTGCTAATTTTGATCTTCAGCACATCTTGAATCTCTGGGTCGCCCATGGCCTTTGCCGTCTCCGCTTCGATCACATAGTCCAGGCGGCTGGCGAAGCGAATCAACCGCAAAACACGTAATGGGTCGTCTTTGAATGTTTGGGTAGGTTCCAGAGGTGTGCGAATGAGTTTTGCTGCCATGTCGTTGAACCCTTGCTGTGTGAAGTCCTCAACTTCACATGTGTGCAGATTGTAGAACATGGCATTGATAGTCGCGTCCCGGCGCATAGCGTCTTCTTCTGCTGTGCCAAATTCCATCTGAGGGTTACGGGAGACTTCATTGTACGTCTCTTTCCTCAAATTGACAAGGTCCAGGTCGATGCCCATGATCTTGGTGGTGGCAGTCTCGAGATTCTTCGACTTTTCGGGATTGGCCTCAATCTTGTGGAGACCGGGGGCTATATTCTTACTCTTTTCATGTGCTTTCGATTGATCGTCTTTTCCAAGCAGGTCGTGCTTCTCCGCGTGGCCGGGGATCTCGAGGTACTCCTGCATCTTCAGGCCAAAGTGCTCGCCAGTCATGTTGTTGATGGCGAGATCAATGTCTTGGCTTCCGACCTTGAGCAGCTTATCCCGGACCCATCCTCCTGTCCAGCGCAGCGTAGTTTTCTGTCTTGCGAGCTCCTCAGGTACCTCTACTCCAGTCATGTCTTCTTTGGCGGGCGCATCATCGATGTATGCGGCCACATCTAGAAGGAGCCGCCGCAGCTTGGACTCAACCTCTGTAAGCTCAAGCTGTACACCGGGCCCTGATTCCGTGGCCATGCTGCCGTAAGGCTTGATGAGTAGGATTTGTGGCGCCTCAATCACTCGCCTTTTGGTGCTCTGATCTTGGCGGTCTAACGAAAGACTCCTCTTGGACATGTGTTGGTGTTGGTGTTGAAGTTGAAGTTGAAAGCGAGTGGCCCAGAGATTTTGCGTTGAGTTAAGCTGTCGTGCCCACCGGGCCTTGGGTGGAGCAAAGTCACGTTTGCAGAGGGGGGAAATTATGTGCGGTGAAGGAATACGGCAGGCTCGACTCATCAAAGGCATCCACGTATGTGAGTCAGATGGCGATGCCCGCAGAGTGAGTGAGCTTCCGCAGCTGCGGTAAAAGAGCGACTTTGAGTTGAATCTAGGCGACGGAGGTGGTGTTGTGCGGTGCTGTGGAGGAGCATGGAGATGGCGGATTTCGTCCAGTCAGAAAGCTCAGCGGCCGCAACGACCACGGTCACGCACGTCGCATCGTCAACGGGCAGCCCGTACAAGCAGCCCCACACGACAATCATAGCGACTACGGGCCCAGACCAAAGGGGAGCATACGCAGCATACGCAGCATACATGCCGACAGCGTCCGTCAACCTGCGCGCATCCAACACCCCGCGGGCGCCTCGCCCTAGCTTCTCATGACGCCGCCTCAGGATGCCACGCCGAAGCCCCCAAACTATGCGGCCAACCTGGAGGCCCCGATGACGCTGCCCAAACAGCGCGCATCGCCCGCCTCGTCGCTCGCCTCCCTGCCCGTCCGAAGATCGAACCCGAGCCTGTCGAAACTGTTCGAGTCGACCACGAGCCTGTCCACGTCCAGGCCCAGCTCCGGCACCGCAACACCAACTGCCTCTGTAGTGCCCGGGTCCGTCTTCTCGCCTGGGCCACGGCTGAGCGGCACAGGCACGCCCAACAGCCTGCCTGCGGGCGTCTCGGACGAGCACAGGACGCTCATACAGCGCGCCTTTGTGCCGCACATTGCAGTGCTCGCCGATGCGCAGACCGAGGAGCTGGTGCAGGCAAAGGGCATAGATGGAGGTCTGCTGCAACTCCTGCGGCCCTTTGCCGAGTCGGTGCCGGGCAAGGTCACCATCAGAGACAGCATCGGGGCTAGCAAGAGCTGGGACGACTTTGGCGTGCGCTTCATTGCCGTGGATGATGCCTACCCAGATCTGCGCGGAGACGCAGGGGCAGGCCAGAGGACGTCGACGAGCTCCATCCAGCGGAGAACACGAAGGACAGGTGGCGATGTGGCCCAGGTGGAAGAGCTGGTCGACCGCCATCTGCAGTATTCCGAGTTCAACCGCCAGGATCCCGTGTCCGACTACCTCAACAAGGGCCAGCTGGCACCGCCGACTGAGAGTACATCGTCCCCTTTCCACACCCTATACCTGCGTCGCTTGCTCTCCGGACTGCCTGTCGTGCCTCACGAGACCTTCTCACATCCAGTCGCTGGCATCATAGCCATCAGCTCGCGGAACCCTCACCCCATCGAGGAGCTACGACGCCTGTACAACAGGCAACATGATGGTGATTTGCGCTTTCCGCAATGGGTCGAGAATGATTTCCTACGCTACTATGTACTCATACACGACGAAGAAACGGGCGACATTGCCAAGTCGAATCAAACCTTCGACTCGATGAAACGCCATTTCGGCCTGCACTGCCATCTGCTTCGACTCAAGAGCCAGCCCACTATACCCTCCGATGATGACAGCGTGCGTGTGCCCACATGCGAATGGATGTCTGCTTCGGAAGAGCTAGCAGAGATCCAGAAGCGAGGTATGTTTGGCTGTAGAGAGATTGCTGGGCTGGACTCGCACGAGCTGCACGCTGACCTTACTGCACAGAAACAACCGACGACATTACGGATCCCACGCCATATCTGCCTGACTCCGACATAGGTAGTCTGCGCACCTTCATCCGCGAACTCGTGACACAATCCATCATCCCAAACATGGAGCGCAGTGTCGCAACCTGGAATGAGCAGATTCTCTCTCGGCGGCGAGGGCTTTCAGGCCGCTTCATGTCACTCAGCAAACGGTGGACGCCATTTGGCAGCTCTCGAAACAGCTCGTCTTCGCTCACCGCCTCGTCCAACTCGAACTACGACAGCCTCCAAGGATTCTATCGCCCTGATTCACCAGAAGCCATCATGAGACGGTTAGCAGACTACTGCTTTATGCTTCGTGATTGGAAATTGGCACTTAGCACTTATGACATTCTGAGAACAGACTTTCAGAATGACAAAGCGTGGCGGCACTATGCTGGCGCCGCAGAGATGGCTGCTCTATCTGCGCTCATGGCCCCGACGCCTCTGTCGTCAAAAGCCCGAGCAGAAAACATTGATGCATGGATCGAAGCCGCTTCCTACTCTTATACTGATCGCCAACGTAGCGCAGCACCATACTATGCCTTACGGACCCTTGCACTCTCCTTTGAGCTCCTACGTCTCCGTGGCTCATCAGCAGCCGATGATGCAGCACGCTGGGCAACGCGTATACTCGAATCCGGGCTTGTCGGCGCAATTGGCCACGCTCTCATCACAGAACGTATATCAGCTTGCTACTCAATACGCACAGGTGTCGGTATGTACAAGCTTGGTAGCCGTAAACGAAAAGCCGCCTTCTGGGCTGTTCTTGCCTCGGAGCACTGGTGGCGCCTCGAGAAGTCCCTGCAAGCCGAAAAATGTCTCGATTCTGCGTTGAATTTATACAATGTACACTTGGAGAGCCAAACAGGCGCCAAGAACAGTGTGGCACTTCCCACTGAGGAGATGCAACGATTTGTGGACGACTTAAGGCAGCAGATCATGGGTCTCCGCATGACAAACCAGGGTTACGGTATGGAGCAAGCAGGCTACAATGAAGACGACATACAAAGCCCTGAGGTCGAGGAAGCAACCGAGACTTTGGACACGAGCCCACGGCTACATAGGAAGTCGCTGATAGGGGCAGCGGCACCGTCACTCGATGGTGGGCCATTGAGCCCGGCGCTTGAGAGGCCGAAAGAGCAACTAGATCCGAGAGGCGAAGGGTTTGAATAGACAGTTGCAAGTAATACGAGTCGTTCAGCGAGTGGCTGACTAGCATGGCATTGGCGTTAGAATTAGTTGGTAGATAATGCAGCAATGTATGACGTCCGCAATGAGGGCAGCCATTACCTATTGTATCCATGAATGTTGTCACTAGGTGTGGAAACCCCAAGTACAATACGTTGATCAAGCACCGCTTGATCCAACAGCTTGCATCAACACAACAAGGCTTAAGACTAGAAGATTCTGAAAGATGCATTCGTGTTCTAACTACATTCCAAATGCTCTCGAGATCACTTCGCAAAATAAACGCCAATACCAGATTCAAGACGTAGGCCCAAGCACTTTGGCACCCGTCATCTTGCTGGCAAATGCAACAGTGTAGCCGTTACCGTGCTTGTATGCTATGCAAATCATGACTCAAGACAAGAATAACCATCCAGGCTATGCAGGGTAATGGAATGGGGTATCATCAACTCATTCGTATCCTAACTTCATCCAACGTGGTGCTCTATCACGACGTTACAGTCGTCAGTGTTTCGTTCAAGGGTTTCGTTGCCGGCGGAGGCGGCAAAGGCGGGGCTGCCAACATAGGTGAGGGAGAGGACGTTCGGGATGGCAAGGGAGAAGCGTCTGTGGTTCGGAGACCGCGGAGCTTGATGGTCAACTTCTGCGGCTTGACGTAGTTCTCTGGCGGTGGGACATGTGCTTGTGATTGCTGTGATGCCATGGGTCCGTTCGACTCGTCCGACGAGCTTTCGGTGCCCTCTGGTGTGGAATCCGAGTCAAACAATGGGAGAGGCGAACGGCGCTTTCTGGCCCGCCGACGCTGGTCGTCGTCGTCACCGTCTACACTGGGGCTGGGGCGCTTCTTCGAGATCATCTCTGGTACGATATGGACTTCGGGCTTCCCTGTATGGGGCCCTGCTAGGTTGCGGACAGAGGAGTAGTGTTCCCAGGTCTGCATCAGGATGAGCGTGTGTGATGACCATGGCTAGCTATCGACTTACGTGATATGCAATGTGGAGTGTTTGTCGATCGTCTGCAGCGGAGGGATCGTCACCAATAGTGTAGTGTACCCGAGGCGAGAAGAGGTAGGTGTAGTCAGCCTGCCAGAGGCGAACGTGGACATTTAGAGCCGACGCAAACGCGGAAACTTCCATGTTGTCAGCCCACTCGCCGGGCTGTCCCATCTTCTCGACGTGTTCCTCAAACTGCTGTTGCAGCTGCTCTTCGGTAAAATATGTTGTGTCGATGCGCGTGGGCACAGCAGTGGTGGTCTTGCGTTTAGGATTTCTCCGCACGCTATTAACTGCCATGTACTGGCGGTAGAAGTCTGAGTTGTCTCGCATATGCTCGATGGTTGCAGTACGCAGGACCTCGTGCATTTCTTGGTGGCCAAAGAGCTGGTCGGACAAGGCGTTGAATAGACAGTTGCCTTGGACCATGTCAGCCTTAGTCAGGTTGTGTAGAGAGAACACTCGGCTCACCATCGCCTCTGATCTCACCAGCATAGAGGGCATTGGCCTCTAGCACGGGGAACTCGGGTGAGTTCGCTCGTTGCTTGCGGGGCGCCATGTGAACAGCTGTTGACAGCACGAGACAGGAGACGTCGGGGTATCAAGGGGTGGGTCAGGTGGAGGTACCGCAATCATTGAGAAGAAAATATAGGCTATATGGATCGAGTGCAAGAGCAAAAAAATCAAACTCCAGCCACCTCGGAGGTGAATGAGGGCGGCGGTGAATGTGTACCTAAGAGCTGTCGAAATGGTGACGGCAAGCAAGGCCTCAGCGCCGCAGCAGGGATAGCTTTCTCGTAGCTCGCTCGCGCCAAGGGATTGATTGACACTCCTGGGAGCCTTAGTCAGAGGGCAAGCCAAAACAAACGGATGCGGCCTGAAGAACGTTGAGGCTCGCGAGCAGTATAAGAAGTGTTCCCAAGTCCTACGACCGAATGGGATGGTGAAAATTCACAAACCTTCGGGAGCAGAAAAGTGATGTCACCCTGGCCTAGTGTCCCTATAACCGCCGAAACGGGGCGCCCTGGCGAGGTCGAAATTCGCGTGTGGAGAGTTGGTGGTGGAAAAGCAGATGCGTAGCTGTGCGGACACGTGGTTGATTATATACAGGCTGTAGTAGTCATTCAAAGGTCCATGAGGAGGCTCAAACACGCATGTAAACAAAGCTCTTCAACGCGTCTCGTGCCATTCAGTGTGCGGGTGTCCGGTGCCTTGGCCAATCAGCGCGAAGGGAAGAGGCTGGATGACCCCACCAAATTCACAAGACAGACCGCTTTTCGCGACCCACTACAGGTGAAGGGCATGCTCAGATTTCGGTCCCTTGAAGAGCGTTTTTGCACATGCTGGCGTGTATCGTGGTAGCGCTCAGCTGATAGCCTGCCATAGGTATACTCGGCGCTGTGCTCGAGGCGAGTACTGAGACCAACCGACAGACCCATACACTGGCATCAACAGCTCCTGGTACTGACCGGTTCCTTTGTTGTGTTCGTGTGATCTCTCTGCAGGCTGTCCTGATACTTTCCGAGTCAATGCTCCGGTATGGCAGGTATCAACTGTCATGAGCAAACCTTGATGCGCGTATGCTTCAACTTCTGAGCTGTGATATATCGAAGGTGGCGTGCACTTGTAGAATTCGAGACTATATAATTGGCCTTATTGACTTCCATATGATAAGGTCCTCTTGCAGGTGGTCTTACACCTGAACACCTGTTCGTTCGAAGGTGACCTTTTCACCCAAAGGACTCCGCACATGTCCTCCTGATCTGGTTCGACAAGATGGCTCTGATCACGACTGCGCATCCCCAAAATCAACCAAAGCTCAACGCAGCAGCAGGAACCACTGCAAACAAACCTGTGTTCGCATCTCCTTAGTGTCGGGTCGAACCGTGACGCAGCTCCCTGTGATCTATTCCATGTCACCACATATAATGGAAAGTGAGCACGGTGCTTGAATGTATACACAGAGCCTTGCCTTCGCAGTCGAAGCCTTGCGACACTGTTTATAGCTTCAGGCTATTGGATGGGCTGCCTCCTGTTGCACCTTGATCGCATTCTATCGTAGGTGAGAACTTTTGGCATGACTTTGCTTTAATTGCAGACTCGCCCGTGATTCTATTCATGCCTCATTGCACTTGGATACAGACAAGTTGAAGACTTAGCGGCTTATTCAGGTCGCTGTTGGTACTTGTCCGGTACTCCGAATTTGCGTGCGTCGTGCTTCAGTCATTGCTGAAGAGTCACAAGCGGAAGATGCAGCGGCAGTTTCCCTGTCGGTCCTGTCAGACATGGCTAATCTACTGACAGCCAATTGTACACCTTACAGTCATACGCGGGCTGCGAGGCGGTCACAATTCTGCCACGATTTTCATCGATGAATATGCGGAGACGATTTTTCCCCATTCAGCTTAGTCGAAAGTGGCTTAGCGCGACTCTGGGCCGACTGCGGAAGCTGCGCTTCAGTCGTCATGGCTATTTTTCTGTTTGACTCACTTAGCTATAGGACCGGCCTTCAAATAGCGATCCCTTCCCGCCCTTCCTCCAAGTCACCAATTCCACACTTTCAATCGCAAACATGTGTCCTTCTTGTAACGGCGCCGAGACCAACGGCAATAGCAATGGCACTGCTGCTAACGCAACGAACGGCGACAGCCGTGATTGCTTTACCTCCATCAAGTCTGCTCACAATCCCCATCCGTCTCACAAGTCTTCGCCGTACGCTCCCGTAGGCGATTTCCTCTCAAATGTGAGCCGGTTCAAGATCATCGGTACGTCATTGGGCTTCGAGCGCGATCGGAGGTGTGCACAAGTGTAGCAGATACCTCGTCCCCGCACTCGCAACAACGTGCGAACCATAATAGTTTCTGACTTATCCTGCAGAGAGCACTCTACGTGAGGGTGAACAATTTGCGAATGCCTACTTCGATCTTGAAGCCAAGATCAAGATTGCCAAGGCTCTCGACGAGTTCGGTGTAGACTGTACGGCTCTCCTCTGCGGCACGCGGACTGCACCTTGCTCCTGCTGACCGCCATGATAGACATAGAATTGACCAGCCCTGCTGCCTCGGAGCAATCAAGAAGGGATTGTGAGGCCATTTGCAAGCTCGGGGTAAGTTTCGCTTGGGCAACAGCAAATTTGGACACGTGCTGATCAATGGTGTAGCTGAAAGCCAAGATCCTCACCCACGTGCGATGCCATCTCGACGATGCCAAGATCGCTGTTGAAACTGGTGTTGACGGTCTCGACGTCGTTATCGGAACCTCGAGTTATCTGCGCGAACACAGCCATGGCAAAGACATGACATACATCAAGAACACGGCGCTAGAGGTCATCGAGTTTGTGAAGAGCAAGGGCAAGGAGATTCGTTTCAGCTCCGAGGACTCGTTCAGATCAGATCTTGTGGACCTCCTTTCCATCTACAGCGCCGTGGACAAGGTCGGTGTCAATCGTGTGGGTATTGCCGACACTGTTGGCTGCGCAAGCCCACGCCAGGTGTACGATTTGGTCAGGACCCTCCGTGGCGTGGTCTCATGCGATATTGAGACTCATTTCCACAACGACTCTGGCTGCGCTATTGCAAATGCTTTCTGTGCTCTCGAGGCTGGCGCCACGCACGTTGACACCTCAGTGTTGGGCATTGGTGAGCGTAACGGCATTACGCCTCTCGGCGGATTGATGGCTCGTATGATCGTTGCGGACCGCGACTACGTTCTCAGCAAGTACAACATCAAGAAGCTCAAGGAGGTCGAAGATCTCGTTGCCGATCTTGTCGAGGTTAACATACCTTTCAACAACTATATCACCGGTTTCTGTGCTTTTACCCACAAGGCAGGCATTCATGCCAAGGCCATCCTCAACAACCCCTCCACATACGAGATCATCAACCCCCAGGATTTCGGCATGTCCCGCTATGTCCACTTCGCCAGCAGAATTACTGGCTGGAATGCTATCAAGAGTCGTGCCGAACAGCTGGGGGTCAAGATGTCTGACGCACAGTACAAGGAGTGTACAGCCAAGATCAAGGCTATTGCGGACGTGCGCAAGATCGCTTTGGACGACACAGACTCGATTATCCGTACATACCATCACAACCTGCACAGTGAAGAAGAGAAGCCGCTTCTGCCAGGCTTGACAGAGGAGGAAGAGAAGAAGTTTGAGGAGGCTGAGAAGGAGCTGAATGGCGTCAAGGAGAAGAGGGATTTGGATGTTGCTGCCGATGCTGAGGCCGAAGTGCCTGAACACAAGAAGACGAGGACGACAACTGTCGCATAGGCTTTTAGAGCTGGCCCATGATGACGCTAGAGTTCATATTTCCTTACACTTCCTGGGATTTCTTTTTAAAATCTGCTACAGACATTCCGGTTCCGGTCACGGAAAAGTTTTTGCTTTGATACCTGTCGCTGGACGAAGCCTGATCGTTCGTCATCAGTGCAGTGTACATAGAATTAAATTCATGAACAATCAGCATTGAAATTCCACCAGTCCTAGTATGCGTAGCGTCATGAAGATGACGAATCAACAGCTGTTTAAATGCGTTTGTCACGGAGCACGCGAGCTTATGTCCGATTCCGTGGCTCCGATTCCGTGGCTCAGCAAGTGATCAGGGTCTAAGGCCAAGGGTCCCCCTTCCGCGCTTCTTTACTTTGGACAGTTATTGCCGCCCCGCGTGCACTGCACCCCCACCAATCTTCTCGAGTCTGTCAACACCTCACACGCTGCCAATATGAGCTCTACTGCTACCGTGACCGAGGCGCCTGCCGTGGTCACTGTCTCTCAACAGCCCGCAATTACTGCTGAGAATGTTCTGCGGCTTTTCCCCGAGGTCAACACAAGTCTGATAGGAGGATCGCACAACTCGGCCACAGAAGACAGCGCCCTCGATGGTTACGATGAGGAGCAAATACGTCTGATGGATGAGGTCTGCATCGTGCTAGACAACGACGATATTCCTATTGGCAGCGCGACCAAGAAGCTATGTAGGTCCACACCAACATAGGTCGAGTTCATGGTCAACAGATACCATGGCGACATTTGAACGGGACATGCAGCATTGACGCTGCAGTAGGTCATCTCATGGAGAATATCGATCGAGGACTCCTTCACCGCGCTTTCTCCGTCTTCCTCTTCGATTCCCAGAACCGACTCCTCCTACAGCAGCGCGCGACCGAGAAGATTACATTTCCTGACATGTGGACAAACACATGCTGCTCGCACCCTCTCGGTATACCCGGTGAGACCGGTGTCGGCCTTGATGCTTCCGTACAGGGCGTGCGTCGAGCGGCAGTGCGCAAGCTGGACCATGAGCTCGGTATCCCGTCTGCGCAAGTGCCCATCGATGACTTCAAGTTCCTTACGCGGATACATTACAAGTCACCTAGTGATGGCAAGTGGGGTGAACATGAGAGTAAGCTTACTCCACCTCGCAGAAGTAGGCTCCTTTGCGTGGACCTAACTACGCGGGGTAGTACATGCAGGACCAGGCTCACATTAATACAGTTGATTATATCCTGTTCATTAAGGCCGATGTCGACCTCAATGTCAACCCCAACGAAGTTCGCGACTCTCGATTTGTTTCCCAGCAAGATCTCAAGGCCATGTTCAAGGACGAGTCGCTGAAGTTCACGCCTTGGTTCAAGTTGATTTGCGAAAGCATGCTGTACGAGTGGTGGGACCATCTCGATTCTGGTCTAGAGAAGTACCTGGGCGAGACAGAGATTCGAAGGATGTGAGATAGACGACGACGAAGGGAACACGTACAACGTGGCATCTACAAGCGCTGCACGCCGGATCATATGGACGTCATTTCGCATAACATCAACTGCGTGCGATTGGGATTGGCGGGTTTCGCCTGGGAAAGTGAGGCGTCATATGCAGACTCGTTTCCCCCTAGCAACTGCAAAGATGGCTTTGAGCAAGCCCCGTTTCCGATCAACTTGATTGTTCCCCACATCTGCTAGCCATGGCCTAGCTATAGCTCGTCGTTCCTGTGTATGCGCTTACTCTGCGCCAAACGCTCTTTTGAGTGAAGAACGCAAGTGAGTTTCCGCATAATCTGTTGATTGTAGATGCAGTATAGTCCGAGAATACTTATCTGATACAGCTACTCGGTGGAACTACTCCGAGCATCTGTCCGATCCTTGATGTCTGTTGGATGTCTCTACAATGCTGATAGGGCTAGATTAGCAGACCCTCACGCTTACCCCTCACAGAAAGTCCAGCCGAGGAGCCAGCCAACCGTTGCATTCACCCCACACTTTGTCACCAACGCCACTTTCCGCATTGCACCGCATTCTTACCCTTCGATAGAGACAAGCTATGGCTGGCATGAGGAAGCAAATGAAAACACTGATTGTCGCTTTTTCTATGATTCATTGGGCGAACAATGGTTCGGCTAGCAAATCAAGATGACATTATTTCGACCACAAAGCTGAGGGTCACCTGGACTGTGATAACAACGGATACTCTATAGGGTGGGCTATCGGTCCCAAGATAGATCCCGCTGCAACATGACTACTACCTCCGTTTGGCGCGCTTGGTATCTTGTAGATCGACATGGGTGTGGTGGAAGTATATCAACATCACACGCCCTTCTTCGCCATTGTCCGTCTCACTCCGCATCTCAGTGTCAAATCCTTGCTTTGCGCCAACCACGTCCATTATCCCCCTTCCACCCCCACGACGCCGGCGCTCTGGTGGCTCCGCTGCTGCCGAACCTCGCGCATTGATCCTTCACGATACGCAGTCGTACATCCTGCTAGCCAAGACCTTGTACAGCAGTGGTGCTACTGATCTTGTGACAAGCATTCGACGAGTAAAAAGGCGAACAGCATACGCTCTGCAGCCACAGATCAGCATCTACCAGTGCACACGCATAGGACTGCACAGCGATAACCAAGCGCTGTCTGCCACCCCAATAGACGTCATCGGTCACTTCTCGATCGAGGTGTATCTGTTGCATAAAGGCGTTTCGTCCAACCTCACACCTTGATGTCGGTTGATCTACGTCAAGCTTTTACTTCCTTGCGCTACCCTAATCGAGTCGAAACTGTCTCGAGATCTCAACTGTCCAAAGTCCACACAGGAGATAGTAACCGCCCAGCTGAAACGTAGACCTTAGTCGAGAGAGAACAAAAAGGTATACCAAGACAGGCAATCGACTGGCACCGCTCCTGTTCTGCCCAACTGCCTTGATCCGCAATCAGACTAACCGGGCCGCAGCAGTGTTATTCGAACTGAACTTGTAGTGTTCTTATTCAAGTGATTGATCAGCTTGGCAATTCCGCCTCGAACCCTCTCGAATCGACACGCTGGCGTATTCGACGACTGCCCCAATCATCAAACGAAGCGGCAGATCTCATCTGAATACTAGTAGAGATTTACAGAGTAAACCGCAATTATGGCGACGAGAACGTTTGGGCCCATGCAACCTATTGCTTACAGCTTTGTCGAGCCAAAGTCCGGGCTGAAGTCTGCAACCATTCAGATCAATGACGTCCCTACTGCCTTCAAACTGTTGAAGCAGAAGCCGGCTACCACAGCAGTACCCCCCCTCGCAGATGGTGTGCGTGTTGTCACAGCTGCAGAGTACAAACAAGCAGCAGCCTGTCTTGCAGAGGCCTTTGGTGAAGACGATGTCGCGCGCTACTTCATTGACGTGCCTGACCGTGAGCACTGGACTGAGGAGGAGAAATGGGCTCTGCATGTCGAGATTCTTGAATATATTACGTATGCTCACATTCTCAAGGGGCTCGTGACGACCGTCGGAGACTTTGAAGGGGTTGCTCTGTGGTAAGTGTAATGGATATTTTACTCTTCAGGGCTGATGACTGCAGGATGCCGCCGGGCCAGAACATGGATGACTATGTGACCATGTTCTCGCAGCGGTATGTGGAGACTCAACTACAGACTGTCAGCAGAAGGCAAACGGCGGTTCTTCGACGAGTTCCTGCCTCTGCTCCATGACACGATGCATACTACACTGGGCAAGCGTGAAGACGAGGCTTGGTATCTTGTCTACATTGGTACGAAGCACTCGGGTCGTGGCAAGGGACACGCGCGCAAGCTGATCGAGCACGTAACAAAGCTGGCGGATGGCGAAGGCAGAGCTTGCTACCTCGAGTCGAGCAATGCTCGCAATCCGCCGATATATCGACGGTTTGGTTTCGAAGTGTGCCGCACGATCCAGCTGCAGCGTGGTGGAAGGAACATCCCACTAGACATTATGGTTCGAGAGCCGACGAGGCAGGAGAAGAAGACCAAGGGCATGTACTAGGACTTGGTGGTGCGAGGATAGTGAGCACTGCTTCAACACGGTCGCTCAAGCAGACTGAATGAAGTGGGCTGATGGCGTTTGGGGTCCTTCAACAGGACCAGGTTTGATAGTTTCAATGCGCTTTTCGCTTCTCACAATGTCTGTAGAGAATCGAACAAGGAAGTGCGAGAGCAAAGGCAAGGTGCATGTGCTGTTTCTATGCTTCTCGCGTGCCCGTGTCGGTGTGGTGTTGCGACAGGGGTGGGTGATGATGGACAACGGCGGCTTTAGAAATTGCGCTGTCCATGCCCTGGGACATGAGCGTTTCAGGGCATGCGGTATCGACACGGCTCATTTCCTCCTGTCCTCAACCTCCGTTGCTGGCTGCATTCGCTCGCCAACAGACTCTACATTCCTTGACCAAGTCCAGCTTCGCACTGCCCCTTGGGCGCCTTCAGTCGCTTCGTGCCGGCATCGAGCTTCACGGCGTGGTATCGATTGAGCGTTTCCCCACGTACTCCGCCCGCGCCGTCCACGCTACAACGCTACGACGCTACGACGCTACGACGCTACGACGCTACGACACCCCGCAAGAACCGCCAGCGTCGCGACCGATCCGATAGACGCGTCGGGTCCCAAAGCAGAGTGAGCCCGCCTCTGCGCAGCCAACCTGTGTGCCAGCACACGCTCCCACGCCCATCCCTCCCAAGCAGCCCGCCGCCTCAGTCCCGGACAGCACCGCAGCACCGCAGCACCGCAGCGTGACGATGGTGACGCAGCGACGATACTCGGTCACGGGCCAGACGCCCCCAGACGACGCAGAGGCCATGAAGGCCGAGCACCGGTCGCCCAAACTGCAGGCGCTCGACACGACGGGCAACGACAGCGGAGCGGAGCAGGTGCGAGGGCGAAAGATGGCCCACGCGGGCACGGCCGTCCGCACCTCGAGCAAGCGGTCGGCCACGCAGCTGCCCTCGCCCAACTCGCCGTCTCACGAGCTGCCGCCCAAGATTGCGAGATACCGTCTGGGCCACCATGGCGACGCCGACGCCGACACGGATCACGACACCGACACCGACTCGGACGCGCCCGACCTGCACAGCCAGGCCACGTCGATGCCCTCGTCCCCCGAGCACTCGCACCCGCGCTCCGTCGGTGCCCTGCCCGACGCCGCCAGCCTCCAGAAGCTGCACCTGTGCTCGCGGGATGGCTCCGAGGACGACTGCATGGAGGACCTGGCCCTGTCGCCGTCCCACTCGCGCAACCCCAGCCTCGACTGTGCCTACATCGACCACAAGTCGACCCTGCAGGAGGACTGGGCCGCCTACCAGCGGACACACTGGATCCCTCCGCCAGAGACGCTCCACATCGAGCATGTCCACGAGTCGCCTGTCAGCGAGGCCCACGTCCCGCCCACGCTCCTGACGCTGCCGCCCGAGATCCGCCACCAGATCTACCGCAACTGCGAAGAGCTCGTATTCAAACAGCCGCTCCTCTACTGCATTGCTACTGCCTTTGATAAGATCCAGCACCCTCTCGCCTCCGTCTCCCGCCAGGTTCGCGCCGAAGCCCTCGCCATCTTCTACAGCTACAACACATGGACCGTCAAGGTCGAGTTCAGGATGATGTACGAAGGCTTCCAGCACTGGATCATCCGCTTGGGTGAAGGCGCGGGCTCTCTCCGACTTGTCGACTTCTCCGTGCGCGGCACCTTGTTCAAGCCTCGGAGAACACATACCCAGAGCGTGCTGGTGCACGGCCAGCTCATCCAAATCACCCCTGGCGTATTGCCCAACGGCAGGGAGGACATGTATTCTCCACCCGATGGCGATGCGAGCTTCAAGATTGACCTCTCGGAGAAGTATCCCGGCGGAAGGGTACACCTTGTGCGAAATGATGGCACCAACGAGGCAGGCGAGACAGGTCGAGCACAGCTGGCAAAGATGGTAGAGGTTCTATGGGACAAGCGTCGAGCTGGGACCCTGAACGGGCAGGACTGGGTCAACATGGTCGACAACTTCATCACCTTCATTGGTGGATGGGTTCGTGGCGACGGCAACAATCTTCCTTGAGCTATGCTAACTCGGCGCAGTGACCTGACTTCCTCTCCAAGTACCTCTCCGAGTACCTCTCCCATCGACCCGCCGGCCAAGCAAAACCTTCCATCTCATCGGCACTTTCGACAATTCATCTCCATCGCTTCCGTCTCTGTTATTCTTATTTTTTTCTTCTAATCTTATATTAGCGATTATGCTTAATTGTGCATCTCCATGGAATACTAGGGCGTTTGGAAGGACAAAAAAAATAGGCGCATGACCAGGTAATAATTCCGTCATGTGCACATTTACTGGCGGTTGCATGTGAAAACAACAGGGCGCATTACATGGACTGATCATATGGAGCTTGGGGACATGTTTGCGTTTGCAAGACCCTGTAATATACCCATTTGCTTCCAATTTACGTTCAAGGGATCAGGTTCACACTAGCCTGACTTGTTGACTGCTCATATCAGTCTTCCTCAACATGCCTCGGGAAGCATGAAAATGTAATGTTATTGCAATTGCATTCCTGCCATGGGTATCTATACAACGACTCGCCGCAAACCCTCTGTTCCTCCCAATATTCTCCTCCCTGTCACCGCATCCCTGCCCTTTCCACTCTCCCATCTGCCCTCTCGGCTTCCTTCCTCCTTGCTCCAGCCCTCGTCCTCCATGTCAGCACTGTCAACGTCTCCCTGGAAACCAGCTGCGCCTTCCATAAAGGCGACTTGACGCTCATGGTCGCCTTGTACCCAGCGGTGTATGCAGGTATAGCAATAGACGAAACCTGTAGGTGAAGCTGTGGGTGTGACGATGGGCGCTACGCAAATGGGACAAAGGGTTGAGGATGGCGGTGTAGGTACAGTGAGGATGGGGAGGAGGGTAGTCGAAGAGATGATGGGGTCAATCCGTTGCTGCTTTTCCGAGGATGCAGTCGAGGGTCGTTGCTTCTTGTTGGGGTCGGATTCTTCCCTTTTCGTAGCTAATGGGAGAGAGGGTAATACTGGAGGTGGTAGCTCAATGTTCTCGGCGGCCTTTCTCGATAGCTGCCTTGCAAAATCTGAAGCATGCCACCATTCTAGGAACTTCAGGGCGAAGATGCTGGTGGGGAGCAGTATCTTCAGCGAACTCAATAGTCTGGGCTGCACACTCCTCGCCATGTTCCTTGGGGAGAACATGGAGCCTCCTTCTCCAGGCCGTGCGGGTCCGACCTTCCTCGGCGCAGTGGCCTGCTCAATGGCTGCATGATCCGCAGCGCCCAGTCTTCGTATTCGCGTGCCGATGATCCAGAGGAAAGGCGAATGGTATTTTGTTCCGTCGAACAGATAGGCCATGTTGAAGACGATCAGGGAGAAGTAGTAGGCGGCGTTGACGCTGGGGTATATGTTCCGTAGAAACCACTTGTAGTAGAACATGAACCTCTCCTTGATGGTTGCTCCAGCTCTTAAGCCATCTCTGTCTCTGTTGTACCCTGGCCCCAGCAGGTTCGCATGGGCGGCGTGTACATCGTATCCTTCGTCAAACTTCCTCTTCAGCCACGGCATACCGACCAGGACTGCCAAATTCTTCCATATGTCGCCATCTCCGAGCTTCACTGCTTCCCGGACTGTGTCGCTGGCGCCCAGCTGTGCGCGCGGAATCTCACCCCCCTTTACTCGCAGCACACGTGCACGCTTCATTCCGTAGAAGTTCTCCGTGAACGAGCCGCCATAGGTTCGGAGAAAGTGGCGCTCCACCAGGAGCATGACCAGTGCGTAGACCTCATCGAAGGAGTTGAGAACGGGCAGCAGGTAGCGCGGGTAGCGATGGGTGGAGATGGCGAGGAGGTAGCGGAGAGACGGCGGGAGCAGGGATGCGAGTTGTTGTTCGGACAGGAGTTCGAAGAGGGAGGGTTTGAGGTCGTCTATGCCATTCTGGAGGGTCGGCAGGAACTCCATGGTGGGCTGAGTGTGGGCGCAGTGGGTCGTCGGCGCATCGAACGTGGTCGAGACGGAGACGGAGACGGAGGAGGAGGAGGAGTCGCGACGGCAGTGAAGGGACGACGACGCGGTCGGATGAGCCGAGGCATGGGCGCGGTCGGCTGCACCTGCCCATCCGTCGCGTCGTACGTCACACGCTCACCTTCACGCCCTGAGCTCAGAGCTCCCCAGGCGTAAGCGCCAGAGCTTCATGCTCATTCTCGCTGCTACACGACACTTCACGCAAGCATGACTGCCTCTATATGGCACGCAGACCACCGCCGATGTCGGGAGCTGGCGTCGCCCGACATGTTCAACTTCGTCATCTCTGTGTAGGTCCGCATGTCGCCGCTGACTGCACTCACGGCGCGACCGTGGCTAATGCATCGTGGACAGCTTCCTCGTCGTAGGCATCCTGGTATCTTACCTCCCCCAGCACTACAAGATCATCGCGCGACGTTCTTCTCGGGGGCTCAGTCCCATGTTTGTTCTCCTGGGAACCGTGTCCGGCACGGCAAGCATCGCCAACATCCTGACGCTGCCTGAAAGCACAAGGGACATGGCGTGTTGTAAGGAGATTGGGAATTTCCCCTGTGCCGCTGCTCTGCTTGGAATCGCCCAGATCGGTGTGCAGTGGGCGTGCTTTTTCTTCATGTACGCCTATGCTCAGATGCCCTTTGGACCGCATACTGATTGCAGCCAGTATGCTCCTCTTCCTCATCTTCTTCCCCCGCAATCCCGACCCCTCCCAGATGGACGAGCAGGATGCCAACATGCCCACCTGGAAAGAGGCCGTCGTTGTTCTTGCCGCCTCGATTGCTTTCTTCATCGTTGCCCTCCTCGGCTCCATCGTCTTCGTCTACGCCGCGCCGTCCCATCTTCGCGCCTGGGCCAACTTTCTCGGCCTGCTAGGCACTGCCTTGGCTGCGATCCAATACATCCCTCAGATCCTCATGACGTGGAGACTGCAAGAGACGGGAAGCTTGTCGGTGCCCATGATGTGCATACAGACGCCGGGAAGCTTTGTCTTTGCCGCGAGCCTGGCAGTTAGGCTAGGTCCCGGTGGCTGGAGTGCATGGGGCTTGTTCATATTCACAGGTTGCTTGCAAGGCTGCCTGCTGGCCATGAGCCTTTGGTTCATCTTGAGAGACAGGCAAGCTGCCAAGCCTGGAGGTGCACCTGCCGAAACCGAGAATGGTGCTGCCGGTGCTCACGAACAGACACCACTGTTGCATGGCAATGCAGAAGATAGGTAGTACTTTAAGCACTCGTAAGCAATTTCATTATACTATTCAAAGCAGCGACGCTTGGTTGGAAAGTACTCGACCACATGCCCCAAAAAGTGGATATAGGGGCCATGCTGCGACTTGATTTATTCACCAACATGTCCTCCCGTTATCTCTCTGGTCAAAAGCCGCTCCTGTGCGTTCATGAAGCCGTGCTTCTCCAACCACACTATCTTCCTCTTAGCCCTCATGACTCTGTTGTGGTATTGCACGTCCCTCATAGCTCCCTGCACGTCCCCCAAGGACTCTACAGCTCTCTGGCCCACTCTCGTTGCCGTCGCTTGGCCCACTCCTTGCAGTACTTCAACCACCGGCCTGTTTCGCCGACGTACAACTCGACATGTTTGGATCGGGTCGCGTGGCTGGTATGGTGGAGGCGGATCTACACTGGTAGAGTTCTCTGGCCGGTGAGTGCGTCGAATGGGCCGAAGAGTAACGTTCGGTCGGGGAGTGGTTGAAGTGTTCGATTCATGTGACTGAGACGGGCCAAGGTTCGTTTGGCGGCTACTTCTTGCGTGTCCGGGCTGGAATGATGTGTACTCGTCATATTCAACGGGCTCTCTGACTGTCGTCTCAGATGCTGGCTGCATCCATAGAGGAGGTCTAGGAGATATCAGGCTTTGGCTTTGGCTAAAAGCGTATGTGTGTGCAGGAGGTACAGTAACGCTTGGAAGTCGTGGAGCGCATGACGCGGAAATTTGGGGTATCCCATCAACAATGGTGTATGGGGGTAGACGCCAATGAGGTCGAAAATCCGGCTGTAACAATTCATCGAAAAGAGTATCGCATCGTGGCGCCGGTGCTACGCCGCCTTGACGAGACTGTCCATCGTCAAGAGGAGATATAGAGATCCCGTCAATGACTGGTAGGCGCGTCGGACTATTGCAGTCTTGTCGATAGATGCGACTGAAGTATCGTCCCCATGGCAGCGTAGAGAAGTAATTCCACCAATCTGTGGACATCATCTTCCAACATGAATACTGTCTGAAGAACTGAGCGGGACAAACATGGGTTGGAAGAATCAGATATCGCGAGAATGGTCATGAGTCAAGGAGTAGTACTTTATCTCATGGCTCCGTAGCGCGAGATGGTGTACCAAATAATACCAGTCAACTTCCTTGGTACGGTATATGGAAGACCCCATTCCCGTAACTAACCAAGATGCGGAAGATCAAGCACGCCATTGAAGAGAATCCGATCGCTAATGCAGCAGGTCAGCAACACCTCGACGGCTCCCCTACCTTCAATGGCAATCACATGTTTGTGGCCTACTACATACCAGTACATCTCATCGATTGACGACCATTAGTAAGAACGCAGATACTACGAAACCTCGAAGTTTGATTCGGAAATATTATACGGGTACACGTTGTGCTGAGGTAGACCGGAGGTAGGTGTTGGTGTGGGGTTTCAGAGAAATGGCAGTGACGAATTGGCTAGGCTGCGGAGTACGAAAAGCTGCAGTGAGCACCGCTACAATGAACCAAAAACTCAACCTCTGACATCGCACAGAGCCGACCCGAGTTTGAACTTTGCAAGTGGCCTTTTGTTTACATCTCTTGCATGGCTATTGCAGCGCTTGACGCCGCTAAACTGTTGGTGGGCGATTCCTATGCAGCCCTAGACACCCTATATATGAATGGTACCAAACTCCCATGCGCAGTGCAAAGCGCTGCAAGATCTGCACAAAACGACCACTTTCTTTCGGGGATACTCAAACCGATACATTAACGCCATCGAACCATTCACGCAGGCCGGCGGATACAAATAGACAATAGCGTCCTTCGCAAAGAGTCGATTCCGTGACCTCCAATGGCATTGTCAATACAGGAGAAGGAGCAGGACGTGGTCTGATCATTGTGACACTCGACATACAGTTGGGCATGGGACGCAACTGAATACGGGACCTTTCCAAGCGACCTGCCGTTAACAGTAGATTGGCAATTATACTGCTCGAAGACTCCTGGACAATGCGCGAAGGATGCATAACCCGCCGCATAGGCGCAGGATACTACGGGTGGCTTCGTCCGATTTGACATCTTCCATAAAGTGGTTGTGCAACCCAATAAATCATCTCGAGGAACGGGACAATTTATCCACTGAAATGGACAACTGCTTGAGACGGCCAGTCCAGCTATGGATGATATTCAAGACACGATGTTCATACCCAGAGTCTCCAGAGACTTGGTCGAGCTCTGTGGCGTCGCGGCAAGCCTGGTGCTCGGGTAACCCGGACCCTGAAGCAGCGAATCAGGAAACGCGAACCAGTGGAGAGGCACAACATTCCGCAATCCCAACTGCAGCAGGCGATAGACAAGGCGTTAGCAACGCTCGTTTATCAGGCGGCTATTGATACTTTACACATGACAATGCTGTAAATCCAACGATCGTCTCCTGTACACCAATCTCGAGGCCACCAATCGCTCCCAACCCTGCCGCGTTATCATCCTAGCAATGCCGGCTAACCTCCTTCAAGACACTCCCTTATCTACACCAAGCCTCAGCTTCCAGCTACTGATCTTGCCTGACGCCTCATCGGGAGATTTGGTCTATCTCAGCAGTGTCTTCGGTGCAAAAGGTTCCTTCGCAGACCCATAAGGCTGGAGGTCACCATCCACATGACGGCCGCGCTCTCGGTCAGGAAGTTAACAAGGTAACTGACACCGAAGTGCTTATCAGTGCCAAGGTCAAATGTTCCGAGTAGTCGGGCATGTAGCTGGGGCATGTGGAGATGAGGTCGCTTGCCAATGTCCTACCGTGTTGTCTTCCGAATCGGCAGCAGCATGGGAGGGCCTGAAACAGATATAGAGTCTGTTGACCCCCTGCACCTCGATCTCAGTTCCTCAAAGACCTTTCTGAAGAGCTCTTCCAGAAGCCAATACCTGCAAGATGGAGGCCCCAGTCGCTGTAAGTAGTCACTGTGTGTTTGAGAGCGATTCCCTTCTAACATATATTCTCAGCCCGAATTCGATGAGGCGAAGCCAAATGGCGGAAACCCAGATATCGAGAATGTGAACACACAGTACCAGGGGCTAGAGTTCCATTACATCTACCTCATGATCATGGCGTACCTCGTGTGGCTCATTATTCCTGGTATTGGTTTTCTATACTCTGGTCTATCGCGCCGAAAGTCTGCATTGGCCATGTTGTTTCAGTCACTAGCTGTCATGGGAGTGTAAGCATCTGCTAGGTCAGGTCACTACAAAGCAAGTCTAATAATCTTCGTAGTGTATGCTTCCAGTGGATGTTCTGGGGCTACTCCCTCGCCTATTCTCGTACCGCCAGTCCGTTCATCGGCGATATGGCAAACTTTGGCCTCAAGAATGTCATGTCAGCGCCATCTCCAGGCTCAGCTCTCCTTCCTGAGATTGTGTTCTGCTTGTACCAGATGCTCTTCTGCGCTTGCACTGTACAACTTGTTATCGGAGGTTCGTTCGAGCGTGGTCGCATTCTCCCTTCAATGATTTTCGCTTTCTTCTGGGCGACGATAGTATACTGCCCTATCGCATGTTGGACATGGAACGTAAGTGCCTCAGTCCCCACTATTTGGGTTCACATGCTGAAGCAGAAATAAATAGGCTAACGGATGGCTCTTCAACCTTCCGTCACTCGACTTCGCTGGAGGTGGCCCTGTCCACATCGCTTCCGGATGGTCTGCTCTCGCGTATGCTTTCGTCCTCGGCAAGCGTCTTCCCAAGGGTGATAAGATCCACGGCAAAGCCCACAATCCTACGCTCGTCTTCATTGGCACCGTCTTCATCTGGTTCGGATGGTTCGGCTTCAACGGAGGTAGTGCGCTCAATGGTACTCTCCGGTCCATGCTTGCCGCCTTCAACACCAACACTGCTGCCTCTTTTGGTGTCCTGGGCTGGTCTTCTATTGAGTACGTTCGCAACAAGGGCAAATTCTCTGTCGTTGGAGCTTGCTCCGGTGCTATTGCTGGTCTCGTAGGAATCACGCCAGCTGCTGGTTACGTCTCGCCATGGATTGCTGCCCTAATTGGCTTCCTCACTGGAGTCATTTGCTCGCTCTGCCAGAATGTGGATAGGTGGATCAAGATTGACGAAGGAATGGATGTCTTCAAGCTCCACGGTATCGGAGGAATGGTTGGCAGCTTCCTCACCGGCATCTTTGGACAAGCATGGGTAAGTGCTTTCCCTTGATTTTTGCCTCTATATTGCTGACAGCAAGGCAGATCTACGACCTCGATGGTATGGGCCCATACGATGGCCTCGGTGGTATGGATGGCGTCGGTATCCAGGTCGGTCGTCAGCTTGCCGAGATTGTCGCCATTGCCTCCTACTCCTTCGTCGTCTCGTGCATCCTGTTATACATATTAAAGTTCGTTCCTGGCATGCACCTGCGTGTCAGCAATGAAGCTGAGATGCTTGGTCTCGATGCTGACCAATTCTGCAACGACGAGCAAATTGGTGACTGGAGCATGTTCGAGCAGCATGCGTACGAGGCAAACGCAAGCAGTGCCAGCAGCCAGGTTGCTCCTGTGCCGGCACCTGACATGAACACTAAGCAAGCGTGAGCGAAAAGATTACTTTGGCTGAGGAGGAGAAGCGCACAATTATCATAGCATAGACCATCGAAGTGCAAGAGTCCTTGCACACTACATAATACCCACCATCCACGTTATGTGGATACCAAATTGGTTTCCATACTAGAACAGAGCACGTCGCGCCATGATCCAGCGCATCAAGATACTAATTCCCACGTCTCATAGTCTCTCTGCCAACTTCAGAACTGATTCAACGCCCCTCTCCCAATCAGCATGATTTCGCAGATGATGGCCTAGCCCCGTTACGACTGTGAAAGCCACGCCATCTCCTCACTCTCCCTCTTCATTGTTGTCTTCCACTCGTGCATCATATTCTGATACTCTGTCGAACTTTCGACGCTTAGGCAGTGATGGAAGGCATTTTGATAGCGCCTTGCGGCATCTTCTAGCACTGAAGGCATGCAAAGAACGTCTTACTTGGCTACCACCACCAGGAACCTCGGTGTAATGCCTACAGATCCATTTGATGAAGAGCTCCCCAGACTTCACTAAGTGATCTGGCTCACCACATCTGGCGCAGTGACGAAAGGCGCCAAAGCCTGCATTGGCCAGCACATACTCTCGTACAGCGAAAGTAAGCATCCGAGGTATCTCACTCTCGAGGTTGGTTGTATCCGCAGTGAAGAATGCATCGTGTACCTGTTTCGTCCTTGCAAGGAGGTACTTTGAGTGAAACAGTTGGTATAGGGGTTTCAGTGGCGCGCTGGCAAGTCAGAACGTGTAGCAGGGCCATCTATCTAATATTAACCCTCCACAGACACCTCACTTAAACAATTGAACTCACGATCCAAACCCCGGCACCACACCAAGCATACAGAATGCCTGCACTTTCACCACCCCGCCTACTCAAAAAAAATTCACTCAGCGCTTCACCAGCCAAATGCGCCATGAGCACTACTCCTGTCTTCTCCGCACTCCTTCTACGCACCATCTCCAGCCTTTCTACCTTCTGTGATTCCAGCATGGAGCGAAGAAGAGTGGGAGTTTGGAGCTGGTGGTGGTCATGGTGGTGCGGGACAAGACAGTGGGGAGCTTGAGGGAGCCAGAAGGGGTGTCAATGTAGGATCTGGATTTGTGGAGGGCGTGCGCCATTGCAGGGTTCAAGGGCCCAAAGGGCAAAGCTGATGACCCGAAAAGTTGTACTGGGGACAGGCGTAATCGTATTCAAAGAGTCTTGAACGGTGGGTAATCGCTGTATACAATTTTAGCCACGGGATTGTGATGCAAGCTCTGGAAAGATGAAATGGGGTGGGAGTAAATAATGAGGGACCCTACCATCATGGTAACGTTCGGCTCTATGCTTTTCTCCAGGTAGCCTCTTTAAGTAGCACGACGTATTAGCTTTTGGTTTCTTTTCAAGCACCAGATTCGGTATGCGTAGTAGATGTTCAGCCGCACTAACACGCGGGCTATATTTAGCGGTGCAATCGCAGCCATGACTGTCCGGAAGTGTCTCAAGGACATGTCACTCCGGATGACTGATCCTTACAACAGATGCGTGGTACGGTGCGTACGGGACTTGAGAACGAGAGTAGTTTGTGATTGTATGTCATGTCATTCCAGGACGATATCATTATATCCAAGCTACCCGAGTTTTCAACTTTGAGCAAGCCTGCCCTGTGCCAGTCATAGTGCACCATAAAGATGTGCCCTCCACAATGGTATCCTAGCCTGCCGAACGCGAGCGCCTAGACGAGCCACGCGCCCTCTATGCGCTGGCGTGCTCCTGAATGCCGGCCTCGATGGCCTTGGGGTTTGCGCCAACGACCTCGCCAACCTTCTCGCCGTTCTTGAAGAAGACGAAGGTGGGCATAGCGCGGATGCCGAGTTCCTGCGCAATATCGGGCACCTCGTCGATGTCGAGCTTGTAGAAGCGCGTCTCAGGGTACTTCTCGGAGAATCTGGGAATGTTAGCATGCTTCCCACGAGAAACGACTGCGCAACGCGAACTCACTTGACAATAGTGGGTGCAATCATTTTGCAGGGTCCGCACCATGTGGCGAAGCAGTCAAGGACTATGAAATGGTCCTTGTCCTCCAGGGCCTTCCTGTAGTCGTCGACCCTGTTGCATGTGTCAATTGTTAATTCCAAGACAGGTGACGTCGCAATTTACAAGCGAGCGATGCCGGGAATAAGGACTCACGTCTGGAGGTTGTGAACGCCTTGCTTGCTCTCACTCATTTTGCTGGTGGTGGTGAAAAACTTTGGGGTGAGGAGCGATCGGTAGAGGTTTGCGGTCGAAGTGGGGTTGGTAGCAGCTGTTCGCACGCGCGTAGTTGTAAGTATGGATCTAGTGAGCCGGGCTGATGAAGGCGCAAGCATATTATATGTACAAGAGTGAAAGTGAGACAAAGAGGAATGTCGATTTCAAAGACTTGGCTGATGGAATGAACTCGGCCGCGATTACGGACTGGTGACAGAGATATCCGCTTAGTTATCGGCAAAAGCGCGAGTCCATGCGCACAAGTGAAGAAGCCGAGGTGTGGTGTGACAGGCGAGGAAATCAGGAAATACAGAGGTGGACTTACAGATATTCTGGTGTTTAGGTCGTGGTATGGCGAGATTCGATGGTGTATAAGCTTATAGGGCGCGATGATAAATCGTTCTGCTGGGTCGTATTGTCATCGGGCGGCCGGTCGGGCATGACGTGCTATGCAAGTGTTGCCGCCGCAATCTAGCGTGACAAAGCAAGAAGGACCCCTCCAGAGCTCGGGTGGCGGGGCAGCTACTGCGCCGAAGTCGAACAGCCACCACCCGGGCGCAAGTGGGCTTCCAGCTAGCAACAATTCACAACAGACGCCAGGAACGTGGTTGAGTGGCGCACGAGACAAGGTTTGTTCATCGTTCAAATGGTGCATATGACCATGTCAAATTACAAAAAGGTGGCTACTTCTACTATTTCTTGAACCACTCGAGATCCCAGAGGTAGGCTGTAGTGCCTGGAGGACAAGCGCCGTGTGCCATCTATACCCATAATATGCCCACAGGAGTCCAGTCGGATCCCAACAATAAGAAATGAGGGTATTGATATAAAATGGCCGCCTCTAGCGACCTGCAATAGTACAAAATGGTATCATGTCCCAAACATCCAAGTTCACAATCGCAACGCCATGCTATAACCACAACTAGTCTTGCTCCTAAACTCATAAGACAACGCCCACTCTCGCGACGAAGCAGTACTTCAGTATTTGCCACTTTGCCAACCAAAAACAACTAACTAAGAAACATATGGAAAAGTACCGAGGGTGACAAAGTTAGGAGAGGGTTCTGTAGGGATTGACACTGACAAAGGGAAGGGTTCTGTAAGGACTGACAATGACAAAGGAAATGGCATAATGAGTGGCGTGATGTGGCAAAGTGAAAAATACTGAAGCACAAACGGCGTGCGCAGAGAGCATACTAATCCTGCTCCGACTTCTTGGTGTAGGAGTTTATGCTCGACCGCTTTTGCTTGGAAATGTCCAAGAGCCTAGCGGATCCCGCGCTGAGATGTCTGACATGGTGCTTTCCAAGATCGACACTCCTCGCGCGTTGCACCATCATCGGTTCGGTCTCGAAGGACGGAGAGTCCGGAGAATCTGGAGTAAGTGGTTCCGCAAACTGTTCCTTTGCCGATTCCTCGGCTGCGGACTTGTCATTCGTATAGAAACTTAAAAGGCCTTCTGTCGATTTGACTCGTGGTTGGCGGTGGATGATTGTAGGCTGGCGACCTGGCACTGTTCTGACATGCTCTTCGTCCTCGGATGCCAACTCTTTTGGATCGACAAAAGGATCTTGCTCCTCCTCGACGTCAAGAGCAGCATCAAGGGCCATTAATGCACTGCTTGGCTTCCTGCCAAGAGTGTCGTTGCGGCGCTCATCTGGCTGAGGACTGAGTCTGCGGAAGTACTCATCATCTGCCATGCCCAATTCTTCGTATGATGCGTTGAAAGCTTCGTTGGTTTGCACAGGCGGGGACACTATGCCAGACCGTAGCTGTGATTGGGTTGAAGCTCGTTTTGGTGGCTTGCCAGACAGCCATGACGCTTCGGAATCAACCGAGGCGAGAGACTGTGACATGATGTTGGTGGTTGGTGCATTAGGGCTCACAGGCGAATCTGATCGCCCGCCCATCGAGTTCAACGACTCGACCCGTAAATCTGACGGCATTGGGCTCCTGCGACGAGCAGCAATTGCGCTCGCGTATGGCACATCCGGTGACTCCACTCTGGAGTCAGGTGGTGATATAGGGAATTCTGGCAGATCTTCTCTAAATTTAGACATGGTTCGCCGGGGCACGCTGGACGGATCGCTTGATCTGGATCGGAGCGGTGGGAGGCGCGGTGCCTATCAAGTGGGCGGGTATTGGTTGACGAGCCATGGATTCACGAGAGGTATTGGAGAACGAGATTTCTGAAGGGGTTGTCCGTCCTGGCTCTTGTGAACTGCGCTTGCCTCGTCGGAAGAAAGCTGCGAACACGCCCATGCGCCTGCCATCTGAACTGCGTCGGCGAATTGACCCGCGCTTGGATGGTGTGGTCTCAACCGTATCTACAGCGTGAAGTGAACCACTCCGGAACGGGTCCTGCGGTTGTTCGGAAGAGTCGTCAACCATCTCTTGAGCAAGTTTTTCTGAAATGAGCTCTGGTAGCTGTGACACGTTGGACGGCCCCCGAGCATGAACATGGTTTGAGACACTGCCGCGCGAGTATCGGATGGCGCGGGCATCGGATACCACCGGCTCTTCGGTTGGGCTCTCTAATGGTGTGGGCAATTGGCTGTTCTCGTAGCCCTTTGGTGTTGTAGGCAGTACTAATTGCTGCGGTCGTGGTGGTGGTGTTGATGGGCGGACGTCTTCCATCGGTATTGGAACCTCGCGTTCGATGCCCAAGCCGACCGCGCCCACGGCTTCTCGGCGGGGCGTGGCTGGCGTACCTCCTATTTCTGCAGCGGCATTCTGTTTCTCTGCCCGTCGTTCTAGACGACGTCTGAGGCGTTCTTGCTCGGCCCTTGCTTTCTTGTCCTTGCGCCTCTTATCTCTCTCAAGTATTTCTCGCAACTCTCCCGCATCCAGTGAATCTGCGAGATCGTCTATCCTGCTTGTCCTGTTTTTTTGCTTCTCGTCTCTATTACTCGGCGGCCTCCGTTCTCTCCGGGAGTCATTTCTGCCAGGCAGCGTCGTGGGTGAGCTGCGGTCTGGCGAGTAGTACTGCGAGCCAACAGAGAACCGAATCGTGGGTCGTGGCGAGAACATGTCCAGTGTACTCACGCGAAAGGCGCGGAGCTCCGAGTTGCTCGACATGGATGAGTGTACGGAATCCTCGAAGGGCAGCGATACGTTGGACGTGGGTCGTTCGAAGCGATGGTTGAGTCCGCCCTTGACTTTCTTGCTATCTCTTCGCAGCATGCCACCACCAGAGCTGCCGGCGGGGCGCTTCTGGGGCATGGGAAGAGTCATGGCGCGTATCTCTTCTTCTCGAAGGTGGTCGTGCTCTCTCCGCCGCCTGCTGGAGATGCGGCGGACGAGAGACTCACCGGCAGGGTCCCTGCGCAATGACTGAGGTCGTTGTAGCTTGCGGCGCTCTCGTGCTGCGGCGGGCAGGCTTGAGTGAGAGTGCGACTGGAAATTGTATGGAATGGTACCGCGGTCATGCGCGATGGGCCGTAGGTGAGGACTATGCTGTAGGGCGTGCTGGAGCGGGAGAGCGGTGATGTCTTCGGTACTCGGCGGGGGAAAGTTGGGTCGCAAGGCGGGATGAATGTTCTCGAGCTTCTCCAAGTCGCGCATGGATTCTGCGGATCGCGACGCTGTCCTGCGTCGGCGGGCACTTTGTTGGCGAGTCAAGTGGCTTTGGGCGGCGACGGGCATGTTCCTGTCTGTAACGACAGCGGCTCGACCCTCTTTTAATTTCGCTGGCTTCCCGCTCTTTCTCCGGCCGAAAATCCACGGCATGGCGGGTTCGGTGGTGTCGCGGTGTCGAGAACGTGACTACGCGAAGCGCTCGAAGGCCATCATGGCGATGGGTCGGGAAGTCGGAAGGGGCAGTGGCGATGGAGTGGCGAACAGGGGCGCATGCAGTAGGAACTTCAGGGTAAACGGTAAACGGTAAACGGTAAACGGGCGGGCCACAACGTTGTTCAAGTGAGGGTCGCAAGGAGAATGTTGTCAGGTAAGGGAGTGCCTGTGAGTGGAACAGCTGGCGTGACGGAGCGAGGTGCGGATGCCCAGGTGTGATCGATGCAAGCGAACTTCAACCACGAGGGGCCGGTTTCCAAAAATACCCACGGCCGTGGTGAAAAGGCAGCGGCGAGTGTGTTTCGGGCAATTACGTATCAAACCCTTGCAGGGCATCGTCTACCTTAAGACCCAGCCCGCCCATGTTGACCAGGGCGCACCACAACAAGGCCGGGACTGTGTGCGCATCTCTGGGCCTCTCCAATGTCCATCGCCGCTGATCGACATTGAACCCAGCACCCGCCATTCGCCCGTCGTTTTGTGGCAAGCTCTAATTGCTCTGCTAACAGCGTGCGCGTGCAGCGAATCACGGTAACTCCCTCCCCCAGCAGCGCATCTCCTTGCGAGCTGCTCATCTCGACCACGGCCGCTAGCCGATCACCTGGACGCAGACAAGCTCGAAACTTTGGTTGGTGTCAGAGACTCGCAGCGACAGCTCACACTCTAGAACGGAATTGCGCACTGTAGCGCTGCGGAAAGTATTGATTCCCAGCGGGATACGTAGTCGGTCGTGCATCGGACATTCACCCGTTCTTATCCAATGACGTAGCTCCACGCTCCACTCGGAGCCCTCCTGCAGCTTCTCCAGGTCGAGATGCCTTTGCGCTTGCCGAGCTCATCCCACTCAGGTACCCGCAGACTTGGAACATGCACGCGCCGGTGCGTCCAGACTGGATCGAGACGCCCTCTGCCTTACTGGAATCCATGAGCGAGTCCCTTGCACAGTTGTCGAGAACGAGGAATTGCCTGTGGAACGGCAACGATGCACACATCGCGTGTTGAAGCCCCATCTGCAGCCCATCCATTAGCGGTCTTGTTTCAGTTGCCAGATGCTGTGTTTGACCCTGTCTGACGTTCAGGTGGCGTCCATGCTAGACCTTAGAAGCATGGCATTATTGCGCTCTCGACGCTCGAATACGTCAAGCCATGTCATCATAAGTACAATCCGCGAACTATGCCCATCTGCTTAGAGACTTGGTCTGGTCCAGCACAGTCATGGTTCATCGTTTAGTTTCAACTCACCTGTTTTCGAGGGAAGACACGTAGGTTCTTGCATTAGCGGTCGGTATCAATCGGCGGACTTGCGTCAATCGCCGTGAAACATACTGTCCTAGGTCGGTATAGATTTTGTGAGCTACTAGCTAGCTGTGATCACAACACTTTGCTCGCCCTGATTTTGAGTCGTTCTACATGCTGTCTCGTCACAAACCCAGCTTTACCACAACACATGCGCGTTCTCACGGCATATGCGAGCATTCGCGAACTCGACAGCTGCTGTCAGATATGTTACGACCGCCGTGTGGTTCTGAGGCGGAAATTCTGAGTGCGTCCTGTGCAATAGCCAATAGTTCGAACACTATGTGCAGGCTGCATGCAGATGTATACAAAGCTAAGGTTGTACTCACATGATCCTGCTTCGTGAGAGCGTCGGCAACGGGCCCGCATCGTAGCGAGGACACAGACACATCCGTGGCACCCCTTTCAAGTACTATTGGACAGTCTAGACATGAACGCGAACGAGGTTGGTTGATCATTGTTGCCGTGTGGCAACGGCTGCGCTATGACACGTGGAGTTTATGTACTGAGGCTCAATCGTTGACCAGTATAATCCATATATTGCTTGCGTCTTGTAGATGTAAGGCAGGTGGATGGCTAGTTCCAGATGATATCGTCAGGCAAGGGATCACAGTGATACAACAAGTCTTGGATCGATAGTTCTCACTAGCACCTCATCCTTCTATGCATCATATCAGAGTTGATTTTCTGTAGCCGCCTAAGGCTAACATCATCCCCCAGAGCTAGCTTCGCCGCCGTTTTCACGTCGCCATCACTGATTCGGTGTGGAAGGTCTGACCTGTAACATATCTCGATACCCCCGGAAACCAGCGCTCTTCGAGCCCCAGCCTGCGCTTTTATTGCATGCACCGCTGATACAAGGGTCGAAGCTACGTTCGATGTCTTTATGAACACTAAGTTAGCAGGATGTTATGTGGACATCGTGGACTTCCCGACATGTACGGTGAGCCGTTCTGATCGTTATCTAAACTAGGCTCGCTTGAAAACGGCATCGAGACCTGGGTGGACAATGACCGAGAATACTTCTGGTCTTGAACTCCAGACACAAGTGATCTCGGGGCAAAGGGGTGCAACAGATAGTACATTGCTTTCATACCGCTATACTATTTCCACGCGGACGAATAGTCGCTGCTATGTCATTTGGTTACTACGACCGCAGTCCTCAACACGCATAAGTGGATTATCGCACATATGTCACAGACACTTTACTACAGATTAGAGCCATTCGTTCGCATTGCTACTACACGCCAGGATGAAGACTCCTGGTGCAGCACAAGCAATAGGGTCGGATATCATCAGGAGAGTAGGTAAATGAGTGGCTGCATCGTTGAAAAGTACCCCAGAACAGTGTGACCGAGGGTAATTAGATAGTACTTTTTACAAAAGCAAACATCTACGTGTATCATTGTGGAGCTCGTGGCATTCAGGGTTCAAATGTTAATGTTCGCCAGCGTGATTGGCTATACCGAATAGAGAATAGCGCATCAGCACTGTCATCGCAATCGCCGATGGGTAAAGGTAAACAAACAGAACCCATCAACACCACACCGCCGATGGGTAAAGGTAAACAAACAGAACCCATCAACACCAAACTGATCGACTCACTAAGGCACACGCAACAACCATTGAATAATATATACCGCCAACATGTCGTACAATCCACGCATGAGCATGGCTCCTCGCGGCACTTCAACGAACCAGCGAGCTCCAGCTGGCAACGAACATGATGCCTTCATGACTTTGGTATGCGCCCACCGTGTCGCTCAAGCAGCGCATTGCTAATGGACCCGTAGCCTGACAATGAGATCGCCGGCTGCATCACGGACATTGGAATCAAATTCAGTGTACAGGACTTACAGAAACCGAACCCGCAAATCATCCAGAAGGTCTTCGAGTGGCTCGCCGAATTGTTGATGAACACTACGCGCGAAGTTGTTGCGCCTGCTATGCGCGCCGCGGCCGAGGACATGTGTGGCGACGACGCAGAGCGCATCTTCACAAGCGACACGCGAGACCTGATGGGCTTCTTTGTCGTCCTGAGGAAGCTTTTGCGCGAGGTTAGTTGCATGCTCTGGAACACACTGCTCAACGTTGCTGACAGATGGAATCAGTGCGGCATCCATGATTTTACATTCAACGACCTATACAAGCCTACGCATGGCCGCCTCGTCAAGATCTTCTCATACATGATCAACTTCATCCGCTTCCGCGAATCGCAAACCGAGGTTATTGACGAGCATTTCAACAAAGCCGAACGCACCAAGCTTCGAATCGAACAGCTATACGACGACAAGCAAGCAAAGGAGCTGCAGCTCGCAGATCTCGAGCGCAACCGCGCCGCAACCCAAAGGTTGATGCAAGAGAAAGAGAAGCGCAACAACGATATCAAGAATAGGTTGCGGGAATTAAAGAACGCACAAGAGGCGGTTGCAGAAAAGTTGGAGCGCGCAAGAGCGGAGCAAAACAGACTGAAGGAACTCCTGCAACAGAAGGCCGAGAACAAGGAGAACGTGCAGCGGGAGGTCCTGAAGCTCAAGCCGTACACACAACAGAGCCCGACAGCTCTCGAGGAATCTCTGCGCGACCTGAATGACAGACTCACTGGAGACAAGGCCCAAATTGACACCCTAGATCGCCGCGCACGAGCTCTCCAGACTTCGACCGACTCGTTTGGCGTCGTCGCAACCGACGTCACTTCATGCACTCGATTACTAACCGACGTGCAAGCCGACTTGACCAAGGAAGAGGAGGAACTCGCAAAGGCAGCGAGACACAGGGACGCTCTTGCGGACCGAAGCAACAACGTGCGCGACGTCGAAAGACAAGAACGACTTCTGCAAAAACAGCTCGGCAATATCAACGCACGCACAGACAAACTGAAGACTAAGGCCGACGAGGAAGCAGAGCGTGCTCGGAAACGCATGGAAGAACTACGCGACACGCACTCCAAGTTGGCTGAGGAGAGGGGAGAGAAGGGCCGTGAGATGGAGAGGAGGCGCGTCCGTATAGAGCAGACTGAGAAGAAGATGGCAGAGCTCAAGGACAATATAGAGAATGAGGTCCATGCCGCTCATGACGAGTACCTGAAGATGGAGAGTCACATCAAACTCTACATCACGGACATGGAACAGGCCATATGATTGTCCAATCGACAAGTATATTGTGCCTCGGACAGTACTATATTGGCGTTCGGAATGTTTTGGCTAGTTTTGAGATTGGCTGAGTAGTTGCGCAATGATACCATTTCTTTCTGTCCAATATTCGTCTGATCAACCACGCCTCCAAGGTGTACATACGTTCATTCTCTCTGACTGCGAGATGAGATGTGCATCTTATTCTCTTTATTGACACTCGGAATTGCATCTAGTGCATGTAGACTATACCCAGGCTTCGCGAGTGGAGTCGCTGCCATGGAGGTACTCAACGGCTTGGAGTAGGGTATATAAAGGTCCTTCGCCACAGACTGTTCTCTTTTCCTTCTCCTTCGACTCCCCCATCGCGACAGCAAATCATCACCGTGGATCAAATGATTCTGCACGAATCATGAGTTCTTCTCTTGTTCTACACGACTCAGAGTCTGATCACTAATGCATCCGTTTTCGTAACATCAACAAATGTGACCCGATGGTTTGCTGGACCGTGGGAAGACCGTGAGCCTTCCACAGTGGTACTGATTTGGCCATATATCTCAACCTCCCCCAATCTCAAAACCATGTTCCCGGGAACCATCCGCCCGGAAACCATCCGGCAAGAGACGAACGAAGATGGTTCATGAGGCGATGACGACCTTCACGCCAAGCTGTACTAGACGTGATTCCGGCAGGTGCAAGGCTTTTTGGCGCTTGGCAACCACGATCATCTTTCTTGTGACCTTCTCTTCCGGACACAGCACCGTCTTCGAGAAGGTAAGGTCATGATAAGAGTGGACCGAATTATGTCGCATGCACAGATTACTTGCATTTACCCACCGACTGGGATGCGAGGCGGGAAGGTATATGAGATGTTTTCTCCCGCGACATTGGCAGCGCATCCCATTGTCACCTAAATTGGGTTCAAGATATTCAAAGTCAAAATGAAGGTTCAGTGCGGTCTGTCTGCTGCTTTTGCGGCTCAGGCGCTGGGTGCAGCATTTCCTGCCACCACTTACGGTGACAAGCTTCGGCCCCTGATATCGTCGGAGAAGATCCAGAAATTGATTACCACTGATGGGTAGGAGGTTCAAGACTTGTTACGTCTGCCACAACTGACTTTTGTTCCAGACTCATGGGCAACTTGGAGGCATTCCAAGCAATTGCCGAGGCCAACGGAGGAAATCGCGCTTTTGGATTGCCGGGCTACGCAGCTTCTGTCGATTACATCGTGTCGCAAACGAAGAATGCTAGCAACTTCCGTACTTGGGTGCAAGACTTTCCCGCCCTGTTCAACCGGGTGGACTCGATCAAATTCAGCATCAGTAATTCGTCCCTTTACGTTATCGGGCTATCGTACTCTCCTTCCACATCAGCTGAAGGTTTGACTGCCCCTCTCGTGCTCGGAGTCGCGGGAGCTGAGGGTTGCACCAACGCGGCATACGAAAATTTGGATGTTAGGACAAGATTGTGCTAGTGCAAAGATTCAGTTGTCCTGATGGAACAACGCTCGCAGGCCGCATGAAGCCAGCCGCGGCCGCCGGTGCAGCAGCAGTCATCTTATACAGTGATCTGCCTACTCAGGTAACTGCCGGCACACTTTCCAACCCCAACCCCGAGGAATACGTACCAACTGGCTACATCAACAAAGCCGATGGGGAAGCTTTAGTTGCACGACTACAAGCTGGTGAAGCCATTGAGGCATACTTCCAACAAACCCAGATTGTTGAGACCAGGATTACGCAGAACGTCTTCTCAGAGACGGTTGATGGTGACCCGAACAATGTCGTTATGCTTGGTGCTCATCTGGACAGCGTGCAAGCTGGCCCGGGAATCAACGACGATGGTTCCGGCTCGACCTTGATCCTCGAAATCAAACGGGCGCTCGAGAAATTCCGCGTCAAGAACAAGGTCCGCTTCGCTTGGTGGGGCGCCGAAGAGAATGGTCTGCTTGGATCAAAGTACTACGTAAGTTGCTCTTGTGAGAAATGTTTATTGGGCATGACTGACCTTGTACCTCCTGGTCTGTTAGACCCAGAATCTGAATGCATCGGAAGCCAACAAGATCCTTACTTATCTCAACTTCGATATGGTTTCCAAAGGCTACTTTGGTGTCTTTGACGGAGATGGCAGCTCTTTCAATCTATCTGGGGCTCCTGGATCAGCCGCGATCGAGAAGCTCTTTGCTGAGCACTTCACAAAGAACGGTGTAAACGTGACTGCGGCTCGCTTTACGGGTGGTAGTGACTACCAGTCATTTATGAACATCGGAAAGCCCGTTGGCGGTCTCCACACCGGCACTGGAGTAGATCAAGACCCTTGCTACCACCAAGCATGCGACACCTACGACAACCCAAACCCTACCACACTGACAATCAATGCCAAGGTAAGGAGAGTTACCCGTGCATTGACCACTATGCTAACCGTTATGGTAGGCTGCTGCCCATGTGTTATCAGTGCTGTCAACCAGGGGCGGGGAGTTCATTCCTAAGAGCCCAGTCAATGCAAGCATGATCACGCCCAGAGGTCTTGCCACTCTGGATATCCAGTGGACCGCTCCCGAAGAGGGTGAGAGGCACACGGGTACATGCGGCTTCGAGGTCTAGATATGGAGCCAATGAGGCACAATGAGCCTGTAGGACTTTTTATGAAAAAAAAAACAATGCCTGAATTCAAACGACCTTGGACGAACATTTCCGCACATTGCTGTAGTTTCACGTATTTCGCTATTTTACACCCTGAAAATATGACGGCTCCTGGGGGTCTTCGAAAATTCACGATTTGACATTTGGTACGAAATAGTATTGCGTGTACCTCCGGCTCGCAACCTGCCAACAATGCCAGACAGGAGCCGTTCGCATTCTACTAGGCCTCTCTTTGCTTCCCCTCGAGTCATCCGACAGAAAGTACTACACGTCCCATCTGTGAGCCTTGTAATACGACAAGGACAGTATTCTGTGCACTCTCTGCGTTCTACAGTTTTACGTGCTCTCTTTGCTTGGGCTTGGCATTTAGCTGAGAGACATTCACAACATGGAGCTATCTCGCATTAATGTGATATTTCGTCATGTCAGAAAACTGCGCCTAGGACTGCAAATATGCATACTTGCAGTTGGAAAGTGGTTAGAGTAGGCGCTGGTCCACAACCTCCTGTATGTCTTCAGGTTATTCTGTGATGTAGAGAGAATGAAACATAGTACAATGCGGTGCTACCTAATCCATGATCAGTACGTGAAAGGTGCTTAGAAGCACTGTGAAGACATTCAGGCTGGCAGGTCATCAACTGTGAATAGCTACGATGCTTGGTGTCGCGTGCATTATGCAATACCAGCACCTCACAGTTCTGTATCAAGAGCCCTGTTATCTCTCTTGGAACAAGTCCTCAGAGAAGATGACAACCCAGCTAAAACACCTGTAGCTTGCCATAATCTCGCAATACGTTAACAGCGTTCATGGAAATGCTGATCTGTCCCGACTTTGACCCACCGCCACCCTGCATCAACACCCAAGAACTTAAGAAGTTGATCTGCAGTAAGAACAATGTTTCGATCGCTAACGAGCTGGTATCGTAGAGATGCCTGTTCGATATCTGCAACTCTAGATCGTTGTTTGAGTAGTCATCGGGACGACTTGCCTCGGAAAGAGGTTCAGTCAGAGCAGTTACCGTAGTCTTTGGCTCTTCTGAATTAGTGATCACTTTGATAGTGATGGAATTGTATTTGAATTTCTTAGCCCTCTTCTTCAGGGAGTGTCCGGGGCTTGTCCATGTCATCCCGAAGGAAGGATTAATAGGCCATTTTAAGAATTCACATGTTATATTGATGACTTTCATAGTCATATAATGCCTCCAAATCATGGTTGAGTTGTGCGTGCCATCTTCCCAGACGTTCTCGAGGTTTCTGTACGTCTTCAACTGTTAGTACAGCGACCTGATGAAATCAAGATCTATTGCACTATTCATGTTCTTCTAGTAAGACTTCCCTGTGGTGTCCTTCTTTGAAACTATAGGGCGTCGAAAAAATCCGTGCCTGTCTGTGCTCAACGAGAAGAGGTGGAAAGGTAGCCTGTATAAAGTCAAAGATTTCTATAGAATCACTTAGTGTATCTTACAGCTGCGTATATATTTAGGCTCCTCTAATCTCCTTAGAAGTAGAACTCTATAGACTATCAGCTCATATTGTGTAGGTGCATAGCACGCACGAGTTTTGCTGCTGTCTGGTGGCGCTCTCACCTTCACCATGCCGTTACCCCGACTAAGCGAAACGAATTCGCAGATAGCGCCTTTCGCTCTACCATCCAAGAACGTTTCTTTACAACGCACAGTCTCTTGCGCCCTCACATACCTCTCTCCCCGAAAATCCTCTCGTCAGTTTCCTGTGCCACGCGGAGAAATCTATAAATCAATATTCTTGGCCCCATATGGGTACCACAGTGCTCCATACAATAGCACTGGCGCCGCCTACGGGCCGCAAGATTCATATCAGGCGCATTTGGTGCGTGGACTCACGCCTTTTTAGGCGGCAACTCAACCTTATTCTGACCCAAGGGTCTTGCCTTATGTACACCAGTCGTATGTTCCTCCCCCGCCCCAGCCTTCTGGCGGTTTCTATGGGTATTCCCCAGCTCCGTTTCGCCAGTCTTCTGGTGGTTATAATTATTCTGACGAGAGCATAAACTCTCATGGTGTCGTTTCTACTCATATAGGCAGTTCAGGTCAGCATGCTCCTCCTTCAACTACAAATGAGCAGCATCTCCAACCTGGTGGGCTCGCTCCCGCGTCGGATGAGCGAGTCTTGAAGGATGGACAGGTTCCCTCAGTATCTGCTGTAATCTGGCAAGATAAACTCATCCGTCTTTATGGCGGGTCCGCAATGGACGCCCCCGAGCGTCGCAATGGCCAGTAGGACATTGGTCCTCCTTCACGCCACAATGATGGCGGTTGTCCTTCACACCAACAGGTCGGTGGTACTCCTGCTCGCCAACAAGTTGATCGCTCAACTGATCGCGAACAATTCAACGGCACGTCTCCATTGCAAAACACTCCTTTGAGCGCCCCTGTTCGTTCAGAAGACGATTCTTCGGGTACAAACGATGCTGAACAGAGTGTTGAATCTCGCTCGAGCACAACTTCTGCGCCAGTGGAGCAGGAATTGTTTGTCGACCAGAACCCTGACAACATGAATGTCCATGGTGCCGAACAAAACGTCGAAGGATGTGAAGAACATAATGCGGCTTTGGCATTACGGGTAAAGCAAACTGGAGAGGAGTCGGAACCCCTCCAGGGACAACTGGAGCCCCTCCAGGCGCAGTTGGTAGTCGACACCGCGCGAAATATGGCTGTCCGAGCCGAATTAAATAGCCTCCAGTCGGAGTATGAAGGCTTGGATTAACATAGGTTGGGTTTGGAAGGTCAGATAATTGACTTGGATGCGCACAATGGGTAGACTACGCAGATGCTCGCAAGGGCTGAGTAGACAAAGTCCCCTGGAAGACAATTATAGCCGTCGCGGCACGACATACAGGGTTTATAATAGCATGTAAAAGCTCGTCAGAGAATTCATGTTGTTACCAAGTCTCTATCCTTTGTGAACAGTGCTTTCTGCTGCCAGCTTCTCGTCACACAAAATCTTTGACTTATGATGCTTGTTTCATTTCTGTATGTATCTGCTCCTACGGTTTATCTAGGCGTCCGTGAGTCCTCACCTTCACCGTAAAATCGTGACAACAAGACTAAAGCTTGGTTTGGTTAGCGTGCTTCGAGCCGACACCGATATCTCCAACTTCGCAACCAGTCCTTTACTCGCAAATTTACTGTTGTCGCGGTAAGCTTCCTCTCGTGTTACTCCATCGACTCGTACTAACAAGTGCGAAGCATTCTTTCTACAATGCCTCACCGATGGCAATCAAGGTCACGCGACCGGCGTGACCAACGTCGCTCCTCTACACGGACATACCGAGCCCATAGGAGTTATTTATCTCCTTCTCCACGGCGCCCGCACAGTCGGCGCGAATATGGTCACCATGACCGCCAAGCCTCTTCTCACAGGCGCTTTTCACAATCCTCCGATCGTGGTCGCTCAGACCGTTACGATGCTCGAAGAACACGAGACGAGCGGGATTACTCGCGCAGCCGTACTCGCAAATTACAGGCACGGAGTCGTTCAGACCGAGACAGAAGCCGGTCTCGTTCCGAAAGGCGGTATCATTCACCTGCTCATCGTCGCCATGAGCGCAATAGCTCTTCAGAGCGCCACCAATCACTTGCCTACAGTAGGCACAATGACCGGCGCAATTCGCGTGGCCGACACAACCACTCTCGGCGACGTTCTCGTGAGAGGCGAGATAGTGATGACTCCCGTAGCTACTCACGCTCGCGTACTGCAGGCAGTACACGATACGAGCAGCGCCAATCTCCTGAGCGCCATAGCCCACCGAGGCGTATACATGACCGCGGTGCCATCCGAAATGCTCCTCAGCGACAAAACGTTCACCTCGAAGATAGCCGTACCGATGGCGACGCTGACGTTCCACGGCAAACTGGCCGGACACCGGCCGCTCCAACGCTCAGCCAAATTGCGGCGGCGCCTCGTACGCAGGCTATTCTCAACAATGGTATCTATGACTTCGAATCAAGGCGACCCAATGGCGATGGCCGACAGTCTTTCAATCCTGCCTTATGGCGAACTACTGGGGGTCTCGATAGCCACCACAGTTACGAAGGCAGCATGGCCGCAGGAGTCGTGGCTTCACACGCTCCAACTAGCACAGCTGTGCGCCCAGGTCAACAGACCGAACCAGATGTCTACATGCGCATTGCAGCTGAGGACGCAGAGACAGAAAGGACCAACAATGGTATGTCGTCAATTGGCGCATCAACCTCCAAGCGGATGTGAGCTAATGAAGATCCTAGAGTTAATGGAAAAGCAAGAACGGAATAGAGTATTGAAAGCAAGATGTGCAAGACATGATGCTGAGTATCTGCGTGGGATTGAAACTCTGGCGAGGAATTCCTAGAAAGATTTCGGACTATAGTTGAGGCATAATGTTCCCTGTCCCGCACTGCCGTCGTAGGGTGACGCAAATCTCTTCTACGAGCTTCTCGATACAGGTTTGAACTTGACATATTCTATCATACAATATGCATGGGTCAATCCGTGTCCAGTTTGTTGTATGATCTTCTGTTCATCGTGTCCTGTCGTCGCCTAATCTTGTCATTACACGTCTACATTTCCACGACATACCTCACATCAATCCCCACCACCCAAGCCTTTCGCCCAGAACTCTTCAACAACCCAAATCTCGCCTCAACCCCTCAACGCTGTACTCCTCAACCAGACGATCAGGATCAGGTGTCCCACGAGTCCGCATCCACCGCCACCTCTCGTTCACAACAGCCTGCGCTAAAGAGTAAAGACCCGGATCATTCGGATCGTTGGGATACGGGCGCAGGTGAGCCATATACTGGTACGGCCACCGGCCCCTGACGTTGTTCCAGGGTGGACGATGATGGTCCACGTCGTGGGGCACGGTGAGCTGTGACCATAGGAATGAGTCATCGGGTAGCTCGAGGTACTCGAATCGTCCAAGCGTGGCTTCATTCGATACGGCTGGGGACACCCATGACAGAGCTATGGAGGAATATTCATGTCCAAAATTAGTGACACGGGCAACCGGCAAGGATGTCTGCGGTCCATGGTTGACACGGCGCATATCAAGAGTGGCTGGTCGATTGACAGGTGGACCTCTCGCCACGATTGTTGCCACAGCAGGGGGAAGTGGTATACGACGACTGGGCGTACGAATGAGGGATCTCGAATCTCCATGACGAGTTGATTGGAAGCGGGAAGGAGGAGCAGCGAAGTTTCCTCCAGCTGGGTTGTTGGTGGGTGTATTACCTGCCTGCGGCTGCTGGTGCAAGCGTGTATGGGATCCAACAACAGAGTCCGCTGTTGATTGAGTCCGGACCGAATTCAGTGCATCATGAGCGTCAAAAGATGACGAGTTCTGAAGGCGGCCCAATCGGGCAGCGAAAACGAAACGCTCCAAACGCTCTAGTTCTTCCTCCAACCGTCCATGCCGAAACTCCAAGGATATCCGATCCGCGTCTTCCAACGGCGGATCTTCGTCTTCGAACATGACAGCTCGACAAGTCGGGCATTGATTGTGCGTAGTGTTGGCCGTCGAGATCCATTGTTTGATACAGTGATAATGGAACAAATGGTGACAGGTGGGCAGCGTTATAGGCGGGCGATCCACTCCATATGGCTGCAAACAAATAACGCATTCGAGCACTTCGAGGCCTTCTAGGAATCTGCACGCGTTCGTATCGTTGATGGGGAGATGGGTGTTGTCCATGGCGGACAGTTGGGCTGTTGTAAAAGTAAGGGCGAACGGGAAAGAATGAATGACTACTTCTCTAATGACTGTGGACAATGAGCTGTACTTCTGAGACGTGGAGATTGAGCATTAAGACTGTGAGCTGGAAGGGAACGTTGTGCAGGGTGTGGAAGCACTTACCGTATATGATTACGTTGGCTCAATACACTTTCTATATATTTCTTAATGGGAAACACATTGAGTAGGCGTTTCCGTCATGACCAGAGGTGTTCCTTCCTGCTCCACATCATTTCGCGTCGGAGTTGGACCCTGAGTTCAAGTATTAGACCATCACGATGGTTAAGGATGTTGTACTCCAATCTTGGTAAATTCATCATCTACCAACTGAAGTTTATTTCTTGTCTTGTTAGCGAAGCGTCGCGCTCCTCAGACTCTAGCTAGGTGGATGCAGTACCCAAGCTTATGAGCCCTATGCAGTCGGCCAAAATTCCTTCATTCCATCCGACATCTGATTACACATGTCATCCACCACTGATCTCAACCTGGGGTAATGCACGTTCGAGAAGAATGCTGTACGAACATACACGAGTCCTGAACGCCATGCTGTGAAGAGCCCAGGTACAATACACGTTGCTGAATGATCCATGAAAATGTGTGATTGAGTTCGAAGTGGTTTTAAAATCGCGAGGGCGCCGTCTCCTAGTACATACCAGGAGGTCCCGGGCGACCTTGCTGTTGACGTGGACCGGGTCCGCCGAATGCCTGGTGTCCGTCGAACATCATGCGAGGGTCCTCGCCGCGCATGCCAGGCATTGGCGGTCCGTAGCCCGGAGGTGGGAAATAGCCCTGTGGAGGACCTTGCATGCCGTTACCACCAGGACCTCCGGGTCCACCAGGACCACCGGGTCCACCAGGAAAACCCATGCCACGCATGTTGCCAGGCGGGGCGAAGCCAGGTGGGTGGCCTAGAGGTGTGTTACCAGCTGAAAAGTTAGGACCTCCGAGACCCATCTGCTGCTGAGGGTTGGGGCCATTCAAGCCGGGCGGCTGGCGCATAGGTCCACCTCCAAAGCCTGGCGGGGGCGCAATGTTTGGCCGTTCTTGTGGTGCTGATGGCATGCCTGGTTGGCCGCGTCCGCCCATGAACTGCATATCTGGCACCGGCTGGGACGGAATTCCCATGTTTGTCATCTGTCGCGAATCACCTCCAGTGTTGCGACGCTGCAGACCTAGGATTTGATCTTCATGTCCGGGAAAGCCCATAGGCACACGCCCATTCTTTGCGCGCATGGCTTCCTGCTGCTGCTGCATGTTGATCTGCTGACGAAGCTCTTGCTCGCGTCGCTCGGCATTGAGACGAGCCATCTCATTTTCGTTGAACATACGGGGGTCGTCCATGAAGCCGGGAGGTAGCCCAGGGCGTCCCTTTGGCGGCGCTTGGGGTTGCTGTCGAGGCTGGTCAAAGAAGGCAGCCAGGTGGTTGTCTGGAGTCTGACGAGGCAGATTGTGATTAGACATCTGCTGAGGTGGCGTGGCGCGAGCAGGACCTTGCATCAGATTAAGGAGGAAGTCGCGCTCACGTTGCTTTACAGCCTGATCACGATGCGACTCGTCACGAGCGCGGCTACTTAGTAGTGCGGCTAGGTTTTGATCAGGAATAGTAGCGTTTCTCGATAGAGGTTGCTGGTGGAAGTGCTCCTCAGAAATGGAGGGCTCAGCTCGTGGATGCCTGAACTGTTCGTGTGGCGCATTTTCTGGCGACATGTTACTGAACCTGGCTTGCTGCGATGGCCGAGAATCGGGTCGCTGGGCCAAAATGTTCTCGAGAATGTTCTGTTGCTCCATGGTCCGCGGTGGCCGACTACTCTGTGGCTCTGGCGGTGGAGTTTGTTGGTGGAACTCCAGAGAGATGCCGCCACCATGCCTCATACCGCCGTTGCTGGGAGGTGGCGGACTACCTGGATTGACTGGCGCACCACTGACGTTGACTTGGCCCAGCATCTGCAGTATGCGCTGGAAGCCTTCCTTGTCCGCATTGCCCTCCATAACAGGTGGTGGTGACATGGCCGAGGGCGCCATGGGCTGGGCGGGTGCTGCTGGTTCTTCAGGCTTAGCAAACATGGTCATGAATCTTGATTTCTTGTCCGGCTTGGGTTTCGCAGAAGTCATTTCCGCAGCGTTGATGTCGACAGCCTTGTCTCTGCCCCAGTTGCCGAACAAAATGCCTTGGGTCGGCTCTGCTCCCGATGGAGTGTGCAAGGGCTGCGTCAGCATTGGGGGCACAGTAGCAGATATCGCCGTCGACACCTCGGTGGGCATGGCTAGGGGCTCGTCCTTGTCTTCTCCGGTTGTTTTGTTGGCCTTCATCGATTCCTTCCAGCGCTGAAAGTCCTCCTGGGTGCGCGGCTTGAACTCCTTCTTCTCTACTTTGGTGTCCATCCACTCTGGATCTTCCTCGGCCCTGTTGTTGCCGCGGGTCCAGTCTCGCTCCCTGTCGCGCTCCCGGTCTCGATCACGCTCGCGCCACCCGCCCTGCAGGCCAGGCTTGGTACCCTCGTCCTTGGTGTCCTCACGACGGCCCCATCGCGGTTCGGCTCGGTCGCGGTTGCCTCGACGAGGAGTAGTGTCGGTCTCAGGATCGCCTTCCTGCTTGTCGCGATTGCGGTCACCGTTGCGGCCAGTAAAGCGCTCAAAGTCTTCTTGGCCAACGCTCTTACGGCCCTTGACGTTTGTCCAACCCTCGCCATCTTCTCGTACGCCACGGCGCCCGTTCGTGTAGGTCTTGTCGCGCGCTCGATCAGGGTCGCGGTCTCGTGTCCATCGGTCGTTCTTCTCGCGCGGGAAGCGATCGCCCAAGTTGTCCCCGTCTACTGACACGATGCCTGTGCGCTCCTTGGTCTCGCCTTGCGCCTTTGGTGCGTTTCGCGAGGCCGAGATGAACGACAGCTTTGGCGGGCCGAGTGTCGTCTCTTCTCCGGGTTCTACAAATAGAGCGTTAATTGCGGCCACCATGCCATGAGCTTCTGACTTACGCATGCTCTGACGGCGACCGAACTGGCCCATAGGGTTGATCAGCGGCGGGCGCTCGTTGCCTGCGGGTCCCTCGCCCTCGCGCATCCCACGCGCCCGGCGAGCAGTGCCATTGTTGCTGGCATGGTTGCTGTTGTTGGTGGTGCTCTGATCCGCGGGCACGTCCATCCATTGTGAGATGGAAGGCAAGCCGTCGGGCTTCTTGACAAGCGGAGACGCCCTCAGCCCGAGCAACTGCTCCTCTGTGTATATCGCACCTCCCATGGTCGCTGAGGCGTGGGTGGCAGATGTCAGGGAGAGGCGGGGTAGCTGCGCTCAGCAGGTGTGGTGTACTTTGTTCAGGCTAGGCAGGCTCGACGTGTCGCGTTGGTGGTGGAGATGAGCCACCTCGGGGCAGCTCAAAGGGAAGGTGCTCGGTCCAGGAGTGTCCAGACGCCTCGGTCTGCAATCCTTCAGAAATGTGACAACGTTGTGCGAGCTGGATCTGCGTAGTGTAGCGCGAGGCAAAAGATGGACTTGGTTGTAAGAGATGCCAAATAATTGATAGCGCAATCGTGAAAGACGAAGCAGAGCACAGCCGGCGAAGCTCGAGGTGGGGATTCAACGTGGTCGAGGAGTAGCGCACCCCTGCTGCTGCACAGCGGCGATGAAAAGCGGAGAAGCGTGTAGCGAGCTCACAGCATGCGGCGGGCGGCAATTCGTCGTATCAGCGGGATTTCTTGCGGTCGAGCAGAGGTGCAGATTCGTTTGCTGGGTCGGGGAGAGTCGCGGGTGTTTGTTGTGATTGTGTGTCTTGGGCTGGCAGCGAGTGTTGTCTTGCAGCATACGGCCGCTGACGCTAAGACCAGGGTATTCGCGTTCGCGAGGGTGCGTCATGAACATGTGACTTGGGCGAGGTCACCACCTGGGCGCCACCCAAACACCTCCAGGCAGCACTTTCTTCAAGATTCAAAAGATAACGAATTGCGGTGCGTGCAGAAGCATCGCGTCTGACTACGGATGCCTACGGTGCCTATTAGGCAGTTGCGCCTACCACGCATTGACTTCCCAGCTCAGAAACTACGAATGACGCCCAAAATGCTCCTTTTTCATGATTCCAACGCCAGCGATTGCAATCCGCAGCCAATCTGGTTATGCCAGCATTGCTATAGTCCGTGCTATAGAACCACTACTCCACTCGTTCACTCTCTCCTGGTCGCAAGTCTCGTAAACTCGTAGCGCTAACGTTTTCAGGGCGCGGTGACGGGGGTCCTGATTGTCCAACATCATCTGAATCCATGGCAGCAGACCACACCTGGTTATAAGCGTCGTGCTGCCATCTACATGGGTAGCACGAAGCAATAGCCTCAAAATCTTCTCCTTTGCCGAAACCGAGCATGATCGAGAGGCGTAGTGACCAAGCAGTTGCTCAACAATGTTGCTCTTTCTGAAGTATTCCATGTCCCGTCGAGTCCGTAGAGAATCGAGCAGGTAGTCGAGGAACCAGTCAACCTCTTGGTGGTAGGTGCCATCCTCGTCCGGTTCGCTAGCTACAACAGCATGCCAGAACTCGCTGAGAAGATGCTGCACATTCCACGCTGGCGCCTTGGTTAGGAATCTGCTGATCTTGCTGTACATAGACTGTGTTGGATCAGCCAGGATGCTTGCACATCGAGCCGCGAGCACACCCCCTAGGTAAGGGAATGCTTCTGAGCCGAGCAGTTCGACCGATTCGAGTGTCTCGCCAAGAAGGAGGTACAATTGTTGCAAATCAGCATTGGCTGCATATTTCTGTGGTTGTTCGGCGTTTTCGTCTTCCTGAGGGTTGCTGTGGACACTTGTCTCGAGCGTTGCCATGAGCTGACGGGTGTTGCTGACAGCTTGGAGGCGGATTTCGGCGTGTTTCGAGCAAAGGCACAACAAAAGATCTCCAATGTCTCCATCTTCGATAGCTTCGCCAAGGTCCTTCCTCTTCCAGCGTGTCAGGCCGGAGTGCTTCTCGTCTTCTTCCGGAGGTGCCTCCAGATCGACATGGCGCTTCATATCCAGTTTCTGCTCGACCTCAACCACAGGGGAGGGTGAAGATGTAGACCTTTCAGATCCACTGAAATCAGCGCCTGTTGCCAGCTTCAAGGCCTCTTTGGCACTTTCTTTGCCCATTTTCCAGAGGAAGGCGTCTTTGAGCACATCTTTGTACGACTTGGCAGCGGAGTTGACCAAAGCGTCACGCACTGATATCAGCATATTCTCATCCTCCCCTATGAGTTTCAGCAGGTAGAGGAACTTCGACAACCACTGTGCAATCGGCTCGGCTGCACTAGTCGTTGTAGCTTCGCCGCCTCGGAATGGCCATTGCTCTACAAACGTCATCAGTAGTGAAGTGAAGGGCCCTGCGTCTGTCGCAGATTGTGCTTCACGTGCACAAACGACATCAATGTCATCAAAGTACTTGATGGGTGTCTTGGTGAATCGTGAGCAGCAGTCGTCGAGAAAGTCGAGAACCTCGACTGATGGTGCAGATGAGCCAGGTGACGCACCCAGGCTGGCGATGAGTGCTTCCAAAGCATCTGGTGATGTCTTGGTTTGCAGCATCTCTTGATCCTGGAGAATCACCCCTAGAAGTGACTTAACACCAGCATATAACTCATTATCCTGTGAAGTGATCAATAACTTGAGGAGTGTGACAAAAGGTGAATGAGTCAGTGTTTCTGTACTCTGTCAGTGCTTGTACAATACTCGAAGTTGTTTACGGGACTCACTCGGTTTCTGCCACCAACGCATGGCAGGTGAGTGCCGTGCCATTTGTATCCAGTGCTCAAGCTCCATGATGCGAAACACCTTGTTTTCTGTCGAGCTCGTGAGTTTCTCAACCTCTGCCAAGGCATTGCACAACGGCAACGAGACGTCAAATCTTTCCTGTAGGGCAGTCTGAGGTGTCACTTCGTAGTATAGCCTTAGCAGTCTAGTAATCGACTCTCGCTTCATATCCTTCACATCAGGCTTCCTCAAGGAGAGGAAGACTGTCTTGATTGGCGGGCAGCGTCGGCTAAGCTCGTTCGTGAGACGCTTCCTTGATCGTTCCCACTGCTTCGAGGGCTTTACTGCGCTTGCATCGTTCAAAACCTGAACGACGCTCTGGAGTTTCTGGAGGGAAGCGATCAGAACGCGGACGGCGAACAACTGTATCAAGTCGGAACTATGGTTAAGACATTTAGTGAGAACTTGCTGGTTCAAAGCTTGTGGTAAGATGCTCTGCATTATCATCGACACCGGCGGTGGATGATCCCGGAAGCTCTTCTTGCCGCCAAGATGCTTTGGCACGGGGAGCTGGATGGTCTGATACAAAAAGGCAGAGTATCCGATCCATGTCGACGTAAGCTTGGGATCGTAGCTAAAGTCCTTCCGTTTGACAAAGTAGTCTGCGACTAGTTCGGGGCAAGCCTTGAAAATGTCCAGTGCCAGCTCCTGGTGGAAGGTGTTTGCATACGGCCTTAGACTGAGGACAAACTCGGAAAGAATTACATTGCGAACCTTGCCGGATCTGTTATCGACAGCTTCGAAATCTAAGTCGTTGCCATGGTCTGCCGTGTCCTCGAAGTCAGCCTCATCTTCATCGAATGTGGAAGGATAAAAGCCGCTAGTTGGAAGCATGACACCGTAGGCCGGGTCGGTGCAGACCAATTTCAGGAACTCATGGGCGAGAACAGCAGGAGTCTTTTGTCCATCTGATAGGGAGCCCTCTTCGACTTCGTAGGTGTAAAGGCTGGCGATGCGCGAGAGAGCTTTCCCAGTGAGTATGCGGCTTTTGGTGCTCCGCGCCATGGTCTTATCTTGGAACACATGGCTCTTGAACACATCAAAGACTTCATAGATGAGGAATGGTGGGTCGGCGCCCAAATGATCGAATATGCCTCGGACAATGTTGACGTTTGACAGAATCTCGCTCTTCGCCCGTTCGTCTTGAAACCTCAGGTGGGTGAGGAGGTAGCGAATCGCGGTGGTCCTGACGCTCGGTCTCTTCTGATGATCAATAGCACTCTGCTCTTTGCGCAGTCCAATGTTACGCCCCAAGATCTTCGGCTCGAGGGTAAAATCTCTCTTCGCATAGACAGCTCTGGCATGCGCGCCCTCATTAAATCTCGTGAGCTCGGTGAGCAGTCGCAGCGCAGGCGAGATGATGTTCTCCTGGTTCGGTGCAGCCGAAGTGCTGCGGACGAGGCGACGTGCGACGGATGGCTGCAGGATTGTCTTCGCAAGCAGCGTGCCGTACTCGGTGAGCTCACTGTGGCTGGCAAGCACCTTGAACAGCAGCGCAAGCACAGCAGTCACCTGGGCGAGTATGGCTTCGAAGTTGGTTTCGGCAGCAAAGTCCCATGCTTGGATCAGGTTCTGCAGGAAGGCCGTGTCCTTTAGATTTTCGCCCCGTGCCTTCTGGCTGTCGAGGTATTCGTGGAGAATGGCGCGCTTGCGGGGGACATCGTGTTCTTCGCTGGTGTACAGGATCGAGTCGAGAAATCGTTTGAACAGGTTCAGGCCTGGAAGAGTCAGCTCAAGGGCCTTCAGCTGACAATGTAGGGCGACCTACCACTGCGAAAGTCGGCGTGCGCTCTCTGGTCGAAGAGCAGCGCCTTTTGCAGGTCGCGCGCGGTGGTGACTTCCTCGGCACCACCATTGCCACCATTTGGGCGTGGAGAGTTGCGCTCATGGCTGCCCTCGATTCTCTGTCGCTTGAGCTCATGTCCGCTATGTGCGCTCTTCGCGTCCGCGTCGAAAATGGTCCTCTTCCCCATTGCTCATGTTCTGGCGACTGCTGCCATTCGTGCACGCGGGAAGCTCGAAAAGTTCGGTCTGGAAAATGTCGACAGGGATTATCGGCGCTAGGTCACTCACGGCATGGCTTGCCCCGCTAACATATAGTACAACTTGCTCCACATATCTATATATCTAATCGTTGTCTCGTTCTTTATCAATCCGACATGATTTCAGAGAGACACTACTGGGTTGAGCGATGATACTGTATAACCTACGGAATGTGCCAATTCCAGCCATCTCATGACGTCTCAATCTATCTAGAGGAGCTTTCTCCAACTGAGCCTTCGTTTTGGCCCTCCTCGTTTTCCCAATTCCTACAGTTCATCGCCGAGTCTTCGCAGCTTTTCCTCCTTGAGACGAGAGTTCACGGCATTCTCTGTCATGTTGCGCATCACCATCTGCGCGTAGTCCGTCTTCACCGCCCAGGCCGCGAAGACACGAACAATAGTAAAGAAGAAAATATTCGTGATCAAATCTACGCCAGCCATGAACACAATTCTATGATGCGTGGGAATGGTGACAAATGCAATGAGATCTACCAAAGGCAGTGGCGAAAGGAAGTCGCCAGCAACGCTATAGGTGACTAGCTAATTTGAATGTCAACTCCAGCGTCGAACGAAGAACACAAGAGTGACTTACGGAAATTAAGTTGGGCAAGAGTTTCTTTGGATATTGCAATTTGAGCAGCCAGGTAAGAACATGATATACCGTGCGATGCCATACTCTCCCAATGGTCATGTCGAGTGTCCATTTGAGAAAGGTATTGCCCCAGTTCAAGGACGCTCGATTCACTCGGCCCTGCGCGATCCACTTCTTGACCACTTCTTCCTCCCGATCTTCGCTTTCTTCGAACTTCGCTGATGGTACTACGTCTTTGTACCGCGGTCGCGCAGGCAGCATCTTTTCTAGCGCAATATACCACCAATATTGCATCGCCGCCAGGATCATATAAACAACAATATCTCTGGGGAATCTTCGCCAATAGAATGATTCTTCTGGTGGATATTCTATTGGGCTGATAGTACCTTTGCTTGCGGTCCATCCTGAGGTCTCGTTAATCTGGTAGTGTGGCGCAGATTTGTCGGTAGCGTTTCCAGCACCCAGTGTTGGCTGCGCAGTCGTTCGATTTGTCTCAGCTTCCAGTGCGTTCCTCATGTTCTGCCATCCTTCGTTCTGCACAACTGCATCGAACATGCCGTCACTCTTATAGTGGCTGAATAGCTTCGAGAGGATGAAGAGAGCGGTCGCTTGAAGTACCGCATGTCGCATCGCTCGTGAAAACATGGTGATAGATCTATAAAATGTTGGAAACAAATCGCAAATCATTCATGAGGAACGTCTATTATATTGTAGAGACTTTACTATAAAAAGGTAGTGGCTTGGTCATTAGCGCCGAACGCCGTACAGGAGGCCTAACCGTCTCCTGTGTCTGCCTAGCAGTGCCCCGATGATCGTCCGACTTTTCCGTGTCTTTGCATGACAAGGCTGTCGGTCTTCTTGGGTCCTTATATTGCAGCTTACTAATTAAGCAGGGAAATGAACAAGGTCATACTGATTAGACGGTCTGAAGGTTCGATATCGCTGGGCTTCGATTGCGATAGTGGGGCTGTGTAAAGCTGCAGGCACCCAGGTCGCTCTCAAGCATGGTAAACAACATGTTGTAAAGGGCCGGTTGGTCCTTAGAGAATGTGATAGCTCGAGTCAAATTGCCTGTCCATCAACCCTCCGAAGCTCTCTCTCTTGCTGGTGACCCGTCCAAATTTTCTGGTTCGCTGTCATCTCCTTCAGCGTCCTCATCTTCGTACTCGCTCGTCCCTTCCTCGTCCTCTTCATCCGTTCCGTCATAATCAACATTAACCCCGAAGCCATCAAAGTCATCGTAGTCTCCATATACATAGTGCAGGTCGTCTTGTTCATCCTCACCGAGTTCTCGATACTGAGAACTGGTGGCTTCCCTGCCCAAATCTTCTGGGGTGACCGACTGTTCGACAAAAATCCATGTGTCCGTGACGACTACGTACTCGACGGTGTCGCTCTTGGCAAGGTGCCCCCATTCCCGTCCACCCAATTTGCTAGTTCCCTTCCATGTCCACTCTTTCAGCTTGGTAGTTTCGGCACTCAAGTAGCCCTCCCAATCGTTTAGTTCACCTCCTGCGCGCCGCACCGGCAGCTTCCACTTCTTGTTCCTTTCCACAATCCGCATCATTTCGGCTTTCTTCGGAACCCGCGTCTCATATTCAACCCGCAATTCACGCAGCCCTGGAGTGCCATTGAAAGTTCGCAGCCATCCCTCTTCCATCGTCAGAGGCGCATCGTCCTCCCACCACCACCAGTCTGAATAACGGATCGTGATAGTGAGCTGTGTTGGGCGGAATTGCGGGTTGCGGAAAAGACTAAGCAGATTACTACCGCCCTCGAGCCAGTACATCTGCGTGAAGAATCGAACTTTCTGTAATGCTTCGACAGCCTGCGGGGTAAGTTCCCTGAAGAAGCGCGCGCATTCCCTGTTGCCTGAGCGGCCGTCTGGACCACGATCTATGGCATGTCAGTCGAGATGTTTCGTACAGACCACTCGTACAAGGCACATACCAAACCAGAAAGCCCATTCCAGATCCCTCAAAAAGACCTTCTGACCCTCTGTATACGCCGCTTTGCAGGTTCGCAGGAGCACACTGTTACTCTTCCTTGGCGCCGAGAAGCCCGGTCGGTACCAGTAAGAGTCCTTCGGATATGTCGCTGCCTCATCTTCGTATGGCATGAGAGCGAGCGCGAAGATCTCATTTCTGATCTCTCCCGGCAATAATCCAAACAGTGGGCTCTGCATTTGATGGTTCGTGGGTGGGGAAATGGTAGTAGCTGCCATTGCTGCGGTGAGAACCAAACACCAACTGCAGGTGTTAGATAGAAGAAGCGGAAGCAGAGACTCTGTTGAGTCATAACATCAAGGTGTGTAGAGGGTATATGTACTTTCGTATAGAGGAAGCTCGGGGAGTTTGCACGGGCCCTAAAAGTGGGGTTGCTGCCTGGCGACTGCCTGGTAGCATACGGCGCTAACCTGAAATGGAGTAGCCGTCAATTGGCTGTTGAACAGCGTACTTCATAGCTAGACTGATCTCTCTAATGTGCTATCTTAGAACAGCTATTCATGATGCCATTTTTAAGAGCAATTGCGTGATAGAAGTTTCACAAGCACACAGAAGCCTTTTAAAGGTTATGAAGTGCTGCTAGGATCTCAAACGTGATCGTAAGTCTATGAAGCAGTGCATAGCAAACCAAGCTGTACAGTACATTTTGCAAAGTATGGGTGCTATCATTGCCTGGCAAATTCTGTTCCGTCGTGGACATGATCTAGAAGTCCTTTCCCATGTATGGGCTTTGAACCGAGCCGAAACTGCAACATGATTAGTGGCTGTGCCATCAACAATATCAAAGCTTCTCACCCTTGTGGGCAGCTCTGGCCCATAGCCACGCTGCCACTGCGCATGTAGCAGACCTTTGCGGCCGCACATGCGTCACTCGTACAGTTCGGACTTTGCACCGACGATTTCCCTTGGTAGGTATTGAAGAGAGAGACAAGCGTTCGATTCCGCTCCATGGCTTCAGTCACACGATGCCAAAACGTCGCATTGAGCGGGTCGCCGACTGGCCATCCAGCGCCCGCGCAACTATGCATCACGAGTGCTGTATTCAAGGCTGAATATCGGACCGAATGCTAGTCAGGTCCGCAAAACTGTCGACAGGACTAGTGAACGTCCAAGCCTCGTAAATGTTGAAGTCACCTGTATCCACCTCGTACAGCCTGAAACCGGAGTTCAGATTCGTGAGAGGTGTTACAGACGGACCAATCCAGCCAGATGTCAGAGCACTATGGACACCCGGATTTGTGCCATTGTTCGCGTAGTATATCATGACCTGATCTTCATGCGTGTGGCCGAAGAAGACGTTGGCAATAACGTGGGGGGAGTAGCGATCGATGATCTGGTAGAATAGATCCGAGGGGTTGGGAAGCGGGTTCGAGCCATCCCACCCGGACAGAACGTGACCAACGATCCACACTCGCTCGCCAGCATCCTCCGCGGCCTGCAACTCACTTATCATCCAGCCAAATACTCCGCTGTTGTCTGGTTGGGTGGTATTGATGAACGTTAAGAAGTTGCTTCGATACCAGAAGTCGGTATTGAACGTGATGACCCTCAACCCAAATTGGTTCTTGATGGAATATCCTCCATAATGTAAACGGGCTTCATCGGCCTGAGCTTTGCTGATCCAACCATTGTTTTGCCATAGCCCGGCGACATGATCGTAGTTCCAGGACTGTTGTTGCCCAAGCGGGCCGGGCAGTTTGTGTGGAGATTCGATAGCCTCTGGATTCGTATCATGGTTGCCCAATGCTGCAAATACAGGTCCAGTAATGTACTTCTTGAATATGCCGTATACAGATGCCTCTGCGTATTCTACATATAATCGGGAAAGCTCGTTCTGGCTGTCATGCGACACAAGATCGCCGGTATAGACAGTCCAGCCCAGCGGGCTAGACTCAGAAGTGCCCGTTAGTGGGCCAACAGCTTGCAAAGCAGCTAAACCAAGATCGTAAGGAGAGTCGCATTTGTAGTTGCCGTACGGATTAGCTGGAAGAGAGACTTGACCGATGTTCTGAATTGCTGTGTTGTTGTTGTTTGATCGACAGCATAGACTTGATGTACAATTGGCTTCAGACCCAACGGCAAAACGAGGATCAAGATGAAAGTCAGACATATGCAAAACCTTTACACGCTTACCACTGGCCTGAGCAGCAGTCGCATTGTGTGGCTTCGGTTTCGGGAATAGTCCGGTAGTATTGGTCGGAAGAGTATATGGTCGTGGACAAAAGGTGCTAGAAAGCGAATTGCAAATCTGGCGACCATCCCATCCTTCCAAATCTGCATAGCGGAGGACTTGGACCCAGATTGCGCCAAAAGTAGACACCATCAAAGTCTTCTTCGCACGTCCTGTTATTGTGAAACTTGTAATCTTG